TTATCTTCATTAGACGGGGTCTAGGATTACCATCCTTCTTGGCTAGTCTCATCACATGCTGAGTCAGTATGTGTTTGAGCCTCAAGGACTGTTTGATGAATTTCCATTTCCTGATGTCAGAGTTTGATTGAGTAGGGCCCGTATTTTTTGGTATACCTTGCACAATTATGTTTCTCCCTCGGATAAACGTCTCTCGAGATTGTTTAGGGATGTTTCGTATGATATTGCGCTCGGAGTATGGTATGTCGGGAAATATTCTTACGTTCCCATCGGATTTCAGCAAGTAACTGGCTAGCAAAACATCCTCTACGTCGGTAGCATTCTTAAGTGTTACACGAAGTAGCCTCGGGTGATTTAGATGCTTGAAATCCTTTCCTCGAGTGAGCCGGGTGACCGTCAAAGGCTCTGTTCTAGGATGTTCGAGCTTCTTGTTCAGTTCACTCCGGAGCATCCTATCATTTTTGTCCTGCAGACTGAGAGGAAGGTCAGGATTGTCAGTGAGATTCATGATTGTGAGAGAATCGTCACGAACTGTTGTTGGTTTACCAGGTTTCCCGATGGGTTCAGGTTTAATACCTTGTTGTCTGGAGATCAAGGCACGTTTTTGAATCTTGGGCTCTTTGATGGCCGGACGAACATTCTTGCGAGTGGACTGTGAGACCAGGTCACCAGTTGCTTTCCGTACAACAACACTTGGGATGCTTATCCTTAGCGGTGACACCTGGTTCTTTCGGGCCCTGCTAACGTAGGTCGAATCACCTACAGGGTTTTTGGGAACCACTATTGTGTCCAGAGACCCTGAGCTCGGAGACCCGAGTTTACTTAAGGAGTTTAATGCCGTCGACGTAATGATGGTGCTGAGCTTCAACACGTCATAATTAGTGCTTATGGATGCTCCATCGATGACACATCTATCGACACCCCTAATCTTGTGTTTATTGCGCGCTCTTGTTTGTTTACCCTTTTTTTTACTGTCGTTATCCAAGTTTGCTGACAAATTGTTCCGCAGACCTGATAGTAGGACGATGATGTTACTCAGCAAGACTACAGCGACCGTGCTGCACGCGATACACACCCACTTTTGGTCCGGCTTGCTGAGTCTGTTGTAAGTAGTTGCCGTCAGATCTGTGCACGCTTCGTGGAACCAACCTTTGCAGTTGTCGCACTGCATGCCAGTTGTAACAGCGAAATGACATCTCGGACGCTTGCATGAGTTTTTCATGACTATGTTGACGCAAACTATGTTATAGATGCTTACAAAAGCCTAAGACCGTAAAAGTACACTAAAAAGCACATTGAAAACGGACAGAAATGGATAAAAACGAGTAAGATATACTGAATTAGTCTTTACGTGAAGAAAAAAACCGGATAGTAAGCTGAGGCGAAACTACAGTTGACTAGTAAATATGGTGAAACTATAAAAAAGTAATCTACCGAACGTATAGCTCAGGATAGAAATGGTACTTTTGTTGCGTAAGAACACAGCAAAAGTTTGATAAAGGCAAATCACGTTAAGACTAAACTTCCCGTTCGAAAAGCGCGCGTTTACTAATCAAATAATATGTTCTCCGAGTCTTTTCCGCTGATACTGACCTAACTAACTTTACTGGAAATACCTACCCGAGTGTTCTCGGTCACACATTCTCACCAGATCATTAGTGAGTACGCCGTGCTACTCATCCTTTGCAACCGTTAATCAGCTAAGACAGAATGCTAATCGACATATAGATAGCTTTCTAAACATATTTTCGGCCATCTCCGTTTTGACTTCTGATTTGATTTGATTGACGTACTTTGAATATAAAGGTATTGCATGCAAATGCGTTGTGGTGAGCATGGATTTGCAAACTGTGAGTCCGTTCGCTGACAGATGACCAGTTCCTATTCGAGGATATCCATTTCCGAGTACCAATGTGCAGCGGTGACTATGATTCGGCAATTAATAACGCTACCACACATAAGACGTTTGGGGGAACGAGGACGCTCCCTATAGTAGCTATACAGAAGCAAACCACATGACCATGATGAAGGATCTTGAACACTCTTATGACTACAACAGTGGAGAAGAATAAAAGCGAATGACCACTGGGAGGTGGTGGAGGACGTTACTTTGGTTGCGGTCTAAAACAATGTACCCCATGGTAAGCACGTACCCAGAAAGCAAAGATCCTGGGTCAAGAGAAGTACGAAACACCTAGTACGGGTCGCGACTCTTACATAGCACTAAGAAACAGAAGCACTGTCAAAGTCCACAGAAAAAGATGTTTTCAGGCTAAACTCACTCCAAATATCTTCACGAACCAAGGGAGCAACTTCCGAAGATCATTAACAGGGATAAAGAAGTCTATGTAGTCAACTCTGTGGTCCAAATAAACTTTCAGCCTAAAGGTGCGAAACTCCTTTCAACTCTAGTGCCACTTGATGGTCTGGGAAAAATCCAACCAACTCTCGGGCTAGTATTATAGAAATCCAGGAAAGTCACCAGTATTTGATAACATCCAGCCTGGAATCCTGAAACGGTCCGTGGAAGCTATCAGAATACCAATGTGTGAGATTTTCAGGCATTCACTAGATTCACGCCAATCACAAGAGAATAGAGACAAACCATTCTCTCTTCAGCCTTTAAATGTGATGATAAATAAACCTAGCCTGTTGCAGACCAGTCGTATGACTTCCAGTACTGTCAAAAGTAACAGAAGGATTGGTCAACAAACAGATGAGAGAATGTATGGATAAAAACAGCATTCTCTATTCGGTTTAACACGGTTCAGGAAAAGAAGTCATATAAGTTCAATATACTAGTAGCATGAGAACGCTAGAAGACCACTCCTGTACTCGATTTTTATCAATAACCTGTTAGATAAAATTAGTTCTGTGGCACTGACCTATGCAGATAATGCAAGAAACTGAGAGTTCATAAGAAGTCAAAAAGATCCACTTGAGATTCTAAAGGACCACACTACAATAGAAAAAGGAACAGTAGATAACAGGTTAACATTTAACTTGTTGAAATGTCATATCATGAACATTCTGGCCCATTTGGCACAAAGCACTTAAAGCCTACTTGGAAGTCCGTTTTAGATTGTCTCCTTAAAGAGTGATCTCTGGATTGTAACTACCGAGAGCCTAGACATCGATCCGAATCGCACAGAGGATGCAGACAAGTCAGACGCAGCTCTCTAGTTCATGTGTAGACAATTTGGGGCAACCACCTCAGGGTTGTTCCCAACACTGCTGAAAACATATGCAGTCTCACCTCGAAGTCCACAATATTACCGCTTACACTCTTTAAAAAGAGAGGTGTAAATCTCTTAAATCAAGCACAGAGATGGGCAACCAAGTGAGTGATAGATCCAAATCCTAAAGGAAAGACTTCAACACATGGGATTACTCTTGTTGAGCTACAGGAGAAGAAAGTGAGATCTGACAATAGCATACAACATATTGTGTACGCCAAGCCATCCGAACACGAGGTATTACCAGAACATCATCGCCACACTCCTTGAGAAAACCCTCGAAAGATTCCACATCAAATAGCAAATACACGCACACGCCTTCAATTTTTCTCACTCAGAGTTGCCTCTATTTGAAACACCCTCCCAGCCGAATTGACCACATTCCTTCTTTGAGTAGCTTTAAGGGGAGAATCGAAAAACACGTACTCACCCATGGATTACCATTCCCCTCTTTGATCAGAGGCACCACTTCTCTCTCAATACCAGTAAAAGTTTTCAACTGGGTTTCGCTGAAGTGAATGAAGGACACCGTAGATGCTCAAATTCGAGAGCAACAGGCCTGATTCCGTAAGGATCAATTGTGTATAGACCAAATCGCAACACTATGGATCATTTTGGAACAGTCATTTGAATGGGATTCATCACTCTACATAAATTTCATTGAACACGAGAAAGCATTTGATAGCGAGGAATGGACAACACTTTGTAGGCTTCTTCGACACCATGGCGAGACTGAGAAGATAGTCAATATCATACGGAATTCCCATGATTGATTTGTAGAATTATAGTCTACTTCGTCATGAGTACCGCTCTAATAATAGACAGAATCCTAAAATGGTAGATTTGTCATTGTTATAACTGCTCGATCTATTAGATCTTACATGGAAGCCACATCATCTTCTACACCAACTCATCGCACCGTAACAACCACTAATACATGATGGAGAAAACACTCAGGTTAGAGATAGAACAATGTACCTAATACGAATAGAATATACTATTCAACAGGGACCATGCCTACAAGGCCGAGTTGTGCTATCCGATCAATTGAAATTAATTCAATTCATTGTTCCCACCTTCTTCGTCGTTGGGTCTTTCTCCGGTTTAAATGATGAACATCTATTTTCCCAAATGTCTTATGTTCAGCTTTGAGGATTGTGTGATTGGGACCCAATGGCACCACAGATTCCACTGCGAAATGGCGCGTAAATAACAGCTGACAGACTCGTTCGAAGTAAAGACCGGTGTCAGTCAACGTTTCATACTCTTACTCTTTCTCTTTTTCCTGGTGATCGACTGGATAATGAAGATGTCAGCATCTGGGGGGAAACATGGGACATAATAAAAGGCTAGGATACAGCCGAACAATCTAGACTTCGCAGATGATCTGGCTCTCCTATCGCACACGCGACAATAAATGCAGGAGAAAAAGACCAGTGTAGCAGAAGTAGGTCTCAACGTACACAAAAAGAAATATTGTCCGATACAATACGGCATGCACCAATCAAATCGTACTTGATGGAGAAGCCTTGGAAGATGTAAAAACCCTCACATATCTGTACAGCATCATTGATGAACTCGTTGGATCCGATGCAGATGTGAAGGAGTGGATCGTTGAAGCAAGAACGGCATATTTACAACCTAAGAACATCTAGCTACCACAGTTGAATACCGTCAAATACATGAAACCGAACCGAAATGATAATAAAAAAGCACAAGGAACTCAATTAATTAGCAGAAGCTTGTGGGAAAGATATTGGGAATTGAAGTTTGGAGCGCTAGTTGCAATATGTGTGCTACACGGTCTGCAGTTCGTGAATCTGATTCAGACTCGAGGGATTTCAGAATTTTCAGTGTCAAGAGACTTTCATACTTTAAGATACCATCGGAATTTAGAGTAAGTTTGCAAGTGGTATCACATCTTTTAGGAGGGTAGATGTCGTAGTGTTGCTGAATTTGAAAAGCTAAACCGCATAGGTGAAGGGACATATGGCATTGTCTGTAAGTATAACAATTTAGCTAATAACTTAGACCGTGCTCGTGATACTGTATCAAAAGAGGTGGTGGCTCTGAAGAAAGTTCGAATGGAAAATGTTCGAGATGGCAAGTTTTTCTCATTCTTGAGTTATGTACAACAGGTATCCCTATTAGCAGTTTGCGCGAAATCACTTTGTTGCTAAGTATAAAGCACCCGAATGTTGTTCACTTGAGAGAAGTCGTTGTTGGGAGGAGCTTAGATAGGTATGTTCAAGTGATATCGATCATTTTCAGCATCTTCCTTGTTATGGAATATTGTGAACAGGATATGGCAAGTTTACTTGATAACATGCCTAATCCTTTCACCGAGTCTCAGGTAACATGCGGTTAAAATTCTAATTTGTACTGTAGGTTAAGTGCATCATGCTTCAGATTTTCAAAGGTCTGAGATATCTTCATGAAAACTTTATAATCCACAGGGACTTAAAAGTCTCCAACCTGTTAATGAATGACAAAGGTCTTGTCAAAATAGCGGACTTTGGACTGTCACGCCCTACTCATTCCCACAATCCCATGACTCCTTGCGTTGTTACATTATGGTGAGAAGGTTCACTTCAAATTTTTCGTGTATTTTTATCAATAAGACTTATTTGCGTTCTCATACTAAGATCCAGCTATAGAACAGTTGATGTTTTCACTAAGTTTACGTGGTTGTTACGGAAGTGACTGACAATCGCAAAGACAAATGACTGGGATAGATTCATATTATTAACAATCTGGCTTAAATTGGTTATCAGTAGACAGGGAAATCGCCTGGTTTGAGACTAATGTGAGAATATCCGCCAAGTATTTCAATCCCAGTTGACACACTCAACTAAAACACGTTATACCTCAGAAATCACTTAACGCTCTCACAGTTTTTTCCTGCAATCAGGATTATGGTTAAATTAACGAAAACTCAATAATTGCAGGGATCAATATGGTTTCATCGTGTTTTTTATTTGTATCTTACGGCCTCGATCAGTCCCAATCGATGCTGTCAAACTAAACGACATTACTCATTATTTCAGTCTTTAGTAATAACAATGATAGGTCGCTTCACCTGTGTCCATCCCTCCAACTTGTCTTCAAGTGGAAAACCAGCCTGTCCGTAAAAGTGTTCGCTGATCGAGTCGATACTTGTCCGAGTAGGATATTTCAGTCACTGACTGCTCGATAAGAACAAGATCCAACTCTGAGTTTGTTCAGCTGCTGTTTTCAAAACTTTTCAATTGCCCAGATGATTGGTCCTGTCGGAAACAAAAGTTAAGACATGTTAACGCCGAAATCATTATTTAAGATACGGAGTGTCAATATGAGGTTGTATCGAGTTCTACAATAAGATAAGGGTTAAAGGTCTAAACGTCTTAAACGCTCATCACAGGAGAGTTTAGAATGATCAGTCACTAACTTAATTCTCACACGTTAAATGCTCGAGTATGATTACTTACTTACCTACTCCTGGTATTCCCAATGGAGCATAGGTCTCCGACCAGCATTCTACAACCCACTCTGTTCTGGGCCTTCCTTTCTAGTTCTATCAAATTGTTGTTCATTCTTCTCATGTCCGTCTCCTCTTTTCCTTTAACTTTGAGGATTCCAAGTGGGGGCTTGCAGTTGGGTGCTTTCCTCAATGTGTGTCCTATCCACTGAGTGTGATAGGATTCCTAATATGAGTAGGACTTGCTACTTGGCTGCAATTCTCTAGATGAGGCCTCATAGTCTAAATATAAAACCTGAAAAATGTCTCTACCAAGTCACTAGAATACTAGATGAAATGACCATAAAATTCAAAATCTTTTGCAGCAGTTGCATTCCAGTGTGCAGTTATTCTCGATTCACAACTGACTACTACTATTTTTTCTGCATTAATGAAAGCGATGTGCCGTTTGTAGTATACTAGTAACCAATATCGTGTCCAGTGTACACTAGCACGCTTTCTAAAATTAATTTTCAAACATGGACTTTGAGATTATGAAACCAATCAGTCTAGATCAGTTTGGAAATCAAAATAACCAGTTTGACTACTTATGTTTCTCTAGACTTTAACATTATCTGCAAACAAGTGTAGGTGACTTAAGCAGTCTTGGTGATTCGATGTAGAGTAGAGAAATAAGGGAGCTAGGATTGTCCTATGTGACACTTCTGCGTTGCTCAGCCGTTGACAGATTGTATGATTCTACGTGACTTGGTAACCTAACACGAATTATTTTCCTAAACATCTTAACTACTGTGTAATGTAAGAAAACAATTGCTTTTGTCAAATACGGCCATTGTGCACCAACTGTCTTTCTTCAGTAATGAGTCATTTAGCTATAATTATTTGATGTATTTTCCGGCATTAACGCTTAGATGTCTCATGATCCGTCGGTGTGAACAAGTTCCGGAAATTGTCTTTTACGCCACAACAGCTTCCAGATTTCCCTATTGACCCATCGAGGGAAATGTGGTTGCTTTTACGTTAACCATGGGGTGTACGGTGTTTGTACGGCTTCGAATATGGATTTAAAATCACTCTATTCGTTTTCATTCAACTTATCTACATTGACTGATCAATTTATTGAGACCACATACTTTCCGATTGCCTGAATGTTGGCTAACCAGATATTGGGATGATCTACAGTAGATTCATACTGTACATTGTTTTCGAAACTTGAATTACAATACAAGGTGATCGCTGTTTGCCGGTGGGGTTAGGTACTGAACGTCGGTAACATCATATGTGTGGTATGAAGAAAAATTCCAACTACGACAATTCATATTCTAAGCCAATATATGTCGCTTTTGCGATACACTATACAAGTACGCACTAAATAATAGTTGATAGTGGGCTGCCGTCCAAACATTCACCTGAAGCTATAAGCTCTATCCAAATAATGTGTGGCACGTTGAAATTCCCAACGATAAGATAGCAACGAACCTTACTCAACGTCTATATATGAGTTAGGGAAAAGCCAGTATGTTTAGCTCGGACGATTTACTTCTAGGACTACGAGCGTTTGTGTACACACATCTAAGGTGTTTAGATAATCACGCCTAGCTAGGTCTCGAAAGCATTGTCTTTTAAGACGACTATCCGTAAACCTAAATTTCAAGGTTTGTTTCAGCGTTTTACTTTCGAGTTTTTAACTCAGTAACAGCAGTCCTCAAGTGACCAATATGAACAAATACAAATATTCGAGTAACGGATTTTGTATGCGTTATTTGGTATCAATTCTCTTTCCTTGTTATTTCCGAGTACTGACTTTAACGTCCTCTTTTGGTTGGGCCTCGCCTCCAACCTATTTAACGAGTCTTTTTACAATAGTTATTTGTACTCCCGAAACCTTCTGGCAGTACGTTTCTGATAGCAGATTCCACCAACTGCAGGTTATGCGCATACCGTCTAACAGACTCGTTGCTTTTGACTTCAGATTCCAAATAATTAAACTCGAGACGGACTTGACTTCATTGAATGTCATATTCACGGCTTTCATTCGTGTTTTAACCGTTCTCTTCTAACTACGTATCGGAAGCTTTTCTTTAATCTTCGTTTTTGTTTTGACTTTTGGAGTAGTACATTCATTTATAATATCCAATTAGCCTTGGGAGAGATTTTTGCTCCCTACAAATCTTATGGTTGCACTTACTTCATCAGCAGTGTTTGTGGTAAGTGCGCTGTCGATAAGTGGTAGTTGCGTTTTCTTGATAGTGTGAGGTTTTTAGAGACTGTGCTTGGTCGTAGTTTGGACAGAGGTTTTATCTCCTTCTGGCGTGTCGAAAATGGTAGTCTCAGCCTTTACATCATGAATAAGAGGTTAGCCGACAACACTAACTATTGCATTTGTAGATTCCTTGTTGTCCGATGTCAAACTTAGTAAGCAAGCATCGTCACTTGGCGTCTTCGTCAGAATGAGGAGCTCCAAGATTTCATCTAGGAGAATCGCTTTGGTTAAGCAACGTTCTCTACATAACCAAAGTAAAGCCAGTATGCTGGAAAGTTTATATGAGGCCGGTAATAGATTGGTACACATTTTATGAATCATTTCTTACTGCCGCCACACTCCATGCCATCTTCAACAGAGTAAAGATACAATGGCCGACCACATCGATGAATATAAATGACCATTTTAATCAGTATGATATAGAGAGAACAAGAAAAAGTTAAAGAAGTGCTGGTCACAAAGTGTGGGAAAACAATAACGTTACTAATGTAGCTATGAAGGTGTACAGAAACGGTGACTAACTAGTGGCAGTTGAAATACCAAAACGTCAAAAACCTTAACAGACGCACCTCTATAAAAAAACGGGAGAACAGTCTATACGAATACACAGATAGGAAAAAACAAAAATAATTCAACTAGTGTAAAATGAAATGAAAATCTTATGAAAAAGTATTTTACAGACTCAAACATCTCTAGAAGCCCTAAACATAAGTTTGAATCTAACTTCTGCTACGATAAGCATAACAGAAATCTAACATCTCAAAACACAAAAAAATCACTTCGTCTTTTCGAGTCGTGCGCAAGATCACCTATTGTTCTACAACAAACTGACGTAGAAGCATTTGGGAACTTTGCCGCTCCTTTGTAATATATTTCCAGACCAGTTTTCAGGCTCACTGATTAGATTATGGAAATCATTTGCAGGTTTACATTCCTTTGGTACTACAAACTCCTATTTCATAACTATGTAACTAGTTTTTTAGAATGAATATTCTCTCCATTCCTTATCTGGTTGATATCCAGGTCAGAGTTTCAGCTTTATGACGTTTGTACTCGACCTTAATTTCATATTCTGACACCACTTCAGCGATGTAAACAAAGCAGTATCGCCTCGTCTGCGGTCAATCAGTCGTAAACTACTCACAACTTAACACATATATGTCGATCCAAGTCCTTATCGGAGAAAGTTAACCAGATGAATATAATCGAAAAATTGCTATCAAGTGCAGTAAAAAATAACTTCGAAATACACTTTGCAAGGATCTATTTAAACCGAAATATAACAATCTAAAATGATATTAAGCTTAAGATTCACAGTAGGATTAAAAGTGACTGCATCTATTTCTTTGCGACTGATATCGAGTAATCTTTCCTACAGCTTCCATCCACCGATAACAGTTGCCTCAAAAACTACGATCAGGGAGTCTGCATCTTTTGACATAGGTCAAACAGTTAATGACTCTATGTAATAATACTCTGTTGATTTAGATACCTCAAAGTCTTTCTAAACTGCTCATACTCTAGCCAGAATAGCAGAACGGAAATGAACAGAGTTTGCGAATGAGTTGCACATCCCAGCCACTATAGCCAATAAGAGCTCATAGTATCTAATCTACCCAGTGTCTTGATGGTTTTCTTACACAGGATTTCAATATTTTCAAGTCCATGTGTTTGCTCGCTTGTTTGCACGAATATGGTATTCTGTGGATTGAAGTTATACATGATTATTGAATTCACAGTTGCCTATAATTTTTTAACTCGTAGGTACCGAGCACCAGAAATTTTACTTGGCGATAAAAACCAAACCAAAGCTGTTGATATATGGTTAGTTCAAGTAAATTTGTGTCATCCCAGTTTTAAAATATCAGGTCAGCTGGCTGTATTATGGGTGAGCTTTTATTACACAAACCACTTCTTCCTGGGAAGACAGAGGTTCACCAATTGGAGTTAATTATTGATTTGCTGGGCACTCCGAATGATCAAATTTGGCCGGTATGTTCAAGTTATGCACTTACTTGTCTTCACTCTAGAATCTTTCCAAATTACCAGCATTGGAAAAGATAAATCTGAAAAAGCAACCGTAAGTTTGCATTATCGATCATTTGTTATCTTAAGTGTTCAGAATTTCTTGTTACGTTTTATTTGTCTTTCTTCATTTTGTGTGAGCTTCCTGGTCGTGGCATCGTTGCGTCTATAAATTCCACTAATCATAATCTAGTTTTAGGTGATTTGATGGTAATTGATAGGTTTAAATATTCATTTAATAATCCAATTTATTTATCATCATATTCTTATAAGAGTTTTCATTTTAGTAAACAACTGGTATTGAGCTACAGCACTTGATTTATGGTCCTAGTGACGTTTGCTAAAAGCCCTGTATGACTAACGATCAACTATCTCTGATGTCCTCATTCTTAATTCTTAGAGTAGAAAATCATAGAACTAAAATAGATATTTCGGCTAAGATTTTTTCTACGATAAGATACCAAAGAAAAGAGATCCGAGAAACTGTGAAAACTACAGAGGCATCACACTAATATCTGCACCAGGAAATGTTTTCAGCATAGTGTTGCTGAACCGAATGAAGAATTCGGTGGATACCCAACTTCGAGATCAACAGTCCGGATTCCGTAAGAACCTGTTGTGTATCGACTAAGCTGCGACACTACGAATCACCGTTGAACAACCAATTGAATGGAACTCATCACTATAAATCAACTTCCTTGACTATGAAAAGGCGTTTAACAGTGTGGAACCTTATAGGACTTCCTTCAACATTATGGTGTGAGTAGTTGAGAAGATCAACAACATACAGAATTCATAAAACGGACTACATTACAAAGTCCCTTTCTCTTCCTTCTGGTAGTTGACTGGATTATGAAGACCTCGACATCTGAGGGAAGCACAGGATACAATGGACAGCTTGGATACGACTAGACGATTTGAACTTCTCAAATGACCTGGTCCTTCTATCTCATACACATGAACAAATGCAGGTCAAGACAACCCGTGTAGCAGCAGCCTCTGCATCAGTGAGCCTCAACATATTCTAGGGAAGAGGCGAGATCCTCGATTACATCACGGAGACTTAAACGGAATACATGTTTTATTAAGAACCAGAGAGAATGTATACATGCAAATCCCAATCGACATATCATTCTGGGTTTGTTATGGCCTGTCCACTCACAAAGTTGTTTAATATATTTTCTGTCTCATTGATTTCCTTTTATTATTGCGTAGTATGTTAACTTAGATCGATGAGTGTTGATGATGGGTTTTCCTGTTATTTATCTGTTTGTTCGCTGCCAAGTCTTTTAATAGATCACTAGTCTCGTCATTCGGTGTTACACCTCACTAGTAATGATTATCGTTTGTTATTAATTCATTCGTAATCTGTAATATTATTGACATCCTATTTTCATTATTTCATATCAAGTGTGCTTCACAACCCAAACACAAGACTACACAGTATTTAGGTAGAATTAAATAAATGAAAATCGTATTTTGCTTCATTCTTCTGCTATCAAGCTATAACTCATTTAACTTATTCTTTTGATTTGTTTGCAAATTATTTTAAAAGTTTTATTTACGTAATTTTTTCATTCGTGTTTTCCAGGTACAATAATTTGCGTCATACTTTCCCATGGTTATCAGATGCTGGTTTGCGTTTACTAAACTTTCTGTTCATGTATGACCCGTCTAAACGGGCTCGGGCTCGTGAGTGCTGTCAGAGTTCTTATTTCCGTGAACATCCTTTACGTGAGTGATTGAATAAAGCTATTATTATTATTCACTTGATATTGTTTTATTTGAATCTTCCCATTGATGTTTTAGGACTGAAGTTGATCAGTCTCTTATTGACATATGTGCATACTGTGCGTATGCATCTCTGCTTATTATTATTATTATTATTATTATTATTATTATTATTATTATTATTATTATTATTATTCCATGCAATTTCATTATCAATATTTTCTTTTATTTAATAAACATCTATTTTAATTCGCTTCTCATTAAGCCTAATGTTGAAATGCAAAATCGTGGTATTTTATTTTTATACACATTGGAAGTTAACGAAAATTATATAAATGATTTGCAGCAAGTTGAGGTTAATAAATGTATTCATGTGTTAACAAATAACAAAACTTAAATCAAATTTCACCCCACCAATCCGGCGCTTTAACCGGATCACAAACCAATGGTGCACATGGGCTCTAGTATCCTGCGGGAACAAATGGCGTATGAACCAATCGTTGGTCACTGGCTACCATGGGATTGCATCTCCTTACGATGCTCCACTGCCTTGTGGGTTAGACTATTAGGTCAAAGGCTCGGGGTGTGGCCCCCTAAGATAACCACCTGCTTCGGTTTGGGCACCGGGGCAGTATCACAGCCCACACACAAACGATGAACTCTATGACTATGGCAACTATTTTTCTCGCTCCGATAAACAATCTTTTGTGTGGCGCATATATATTGGCGCTCTCTTGTACCAATATTTATGTGTTCAAATAAATAATAATAACCACCAATCTGTGCGTAATTAGTAAATTGCGATACTCCATATAAAACTAGCCATCTTGAACATATATTTGAAAATTGTGTCTTACTGCCTTGTTCTGACAAAACGAGTTTTAATAAACCGTTTACACCTGTATAGTTATTAACTGGTGCTAATGGGACAGTCTGGGAATGGCTTTTCTACATTAAGTTTTCTGAAACCATTTTACTCGATACTGGTTTAGAGCACAATTTACAATCTTTGTTTCATTTTTAATTTCAGTTATCAATATATTTAGTTGGTATATAGTGGTTATTTAACTAAAGCGATACAGTAATCTTTAAAAACAAATAACATGTTCTTAATTTCCCTTATTTATTAATAACAGCATGCGAACCTGATATGATGCCATCTTTTCCTCAACATCGATTAAAGCGTAAGAATTCTCCTGGTGAATATGATACCAAAGGTGCTAATCCAGCCCAAGATCAAGCTGCTGGATTATTTGATGCTGCCTTCGATAGGATTGTAAGTCTTTATCTAAAGAATTTTCAATAAGAACTACATACTTGACTTTTATTGGTCAATTTTCAGAAATTTTTGAATTCCTTTACTAATCGTTCATTAATCTTTCAAATAGTTGTTAATAATTTGTAGGCGTCGTGATTTTTAGTCTTTAATATCATGTTTTCTAGAATTGTTTAGACGGAAAATCATTGATTTCCAGTCTCACTTTAATCTGCTTATTAAATAGCTTCAGTCGACGTTTAAACAATAAAATCTAAATAATTGTTGTTACTTTAGTTTTTTGTTAAGTGAATTTGTAGCATTGATTGGACTTAATGTATAAGTGGTAAATAGTTTTATTAAACAGTCGTGTTTCTGTACTCGGAAATCGAAAAAAGTTCTATTCCCCGCCATTTCACAGAAGTTACTGAAGATAATCCCTATATCTATCGTTTGTTTTCTCATTCAATAAATAATACTCAACAGAAACTCATTTATTCATTGTATCAAGCGAAGCTCAATTCTAACTATCTATTTATACACTTTAAAGCTGTGACTTAACAGTTTAGGTTCTCAATTTTCAATCAGTGAATCTTGAATCCAGAACTTATTGATTGTACCGCTGTTTATGTGGCTAACTATCAATAACACATCAACACTTACGGTTTCTCACAAACTAGGAAGTTGAATGTGGTTGCATTAATCAATAATTGTTTGATACGAATGTATATGTGTACCGTCGATTGTTTAACAAATTACCTCTCACAGATCCTTTCTGTTTCATTACTTCTTGTCATAATCCTTACAACTTAACCCATGAAAAAGTGGTTATAGGGAGTTTAATTATAATACTTGTTCTATGTAAGTAGGCAACAGTGATTAAAAAACTACACTTCCATAAATGTTCATCGATCTGTATCATATTTACTCTAAATAATATTAAAAATTCCCATGTGATTATTTTAAAATTCTATTTTTCTTTTCAATTAAGCGTAATTCATCAATTATAAATTTTGTATGTTAATCAAAGCTGTATGCATTTTGTTGTTTTGCTTCTAGGTGAAGAAACGTCGAGCTTAAACAGAACCAACACTATAAATTTTAAGAAATTTATTTATATAATACATTTGTGCATTTCTAATTTCTTGGTGTTTTTAATTTGTCCTCATTAGTCATTCATAACTGTCAATTTTCACGTCCATATAAATCATAATTAACTTCTTACCATAGTAATATTCTAACGTTAATTTATCCTTTATATGGATACTACTAAGAAAAGAAATATATGGTTCTAAAGCATTTTCCCACTTAGTGTACAAGTGTTTGGCTTTGCCACACCACGATAAAGGAAATGATAATCGTGTAAAGAAGAGGGAAGATCGGTAATGAGTTTTGAAGTCTAAATTTCCAAAGGGTATGCATTCAATGTGGATTTTGTTACTTTACAAGACATCTTAGATCGCTCATGCAAACTTAAAGAAGAAACTACATACAGACGATGGACCTTTTTCACTGTATCACACCCATCTAATAACATCGGATTCTAGTGCTGTTACGCTCTGAGGTCTACCAAAGCGTTAGACGCATTTTTTACAGGATCATAACCCGCTACATGTGTAAGAAGACTATATATATATATATATATATATATATATATATATATATATATATATATATATATATATATATATATATATATATATATATATATATATATATATATATATATATATATATATATATATATATATATATATATATATATATATATATATATATATATATATTTCTTATCTAGCCTTCAGTTTGTGTGCACAGCCACATGATGTGTCTGGATTCACCTAGCATATGAACCGTCCCTCCCACCATACAACAAATAATGATGAAACAACGGATACCATAGAAGTGCATTTATCTTAACAACGTAAAATGATCGTATTCTCTTTTTCAACCAACAGTGACTAATAATCTATCCACTGAAACCTCAAATCAAAGTTGTTAATTTCTTTTCATCTACGTTATATTTTTGGTCAAATAATGTTTTGTGTTTAGAACTAATTAACATCAATCAGTAGGGCGAGAACTCACGTTCTCCGTGTAAATGGAACCCGTTCATCAGTCACAAGTGATATGTTTCTGACCATATAACATGAAATAAAGTGCATCTAAGCCAGTTACTTTGTCATAATCTTGCCGACGTAACGCAGGAAGTCGGACAGTTCAAATTTATCAAGGTGGTACTTAATACATAAATATCTCCGAAAACAAGGCAATAGATTTCCCTCCTTGATAAAATGATAAATTTTCCATACGATCTAGCTGCAAATGCCATTGTCGACAATTAATCTCATTAACATAGCCTTTTCAGCAGTGATTTACGACAATTCACGGGAAGCCTATATACCAGTAAGCAAAACAACTAATCTGAGATCAACAAGTGTTATGATCATGTACAACGAATCTCTCTGATAAATTGCTGTGAAACAAATGCAAGGAACAATTCAGTATGAAGTGGATTTATTTTGTGTTCTCTAAATTTTTCACACACACGTAAACATTTTGTAAATAAAATGTTATCTCATGCGAAACATTCACCCACTTGTCTTTTTACTGATAGAGAACTGTCACAAATCTATGGTTTCCACCAATAAAGAAATAAATCTATCGGTTACATCCTCCTGGGCTAAAAATAATTATCGAACTGCTTTCATGGTACTCCTCCGATTCACGTTTCTGCAAAGTACAGGTACATTGTGATATGTCATAAAAATGGATTATTTCCGTGTTACGGAAACGGAATGGCAGTGATACTTTAACTAAAACTTCTATACCACAAACAACAGCACTACATTCCCTCCAAGCCCCAGCTACCCCAAATGACCAATCTTGTTAAGAACGATTTGTTGGGTTAAAACATGAGTCGACCAAAGTCAACCAAACACTAAAAGCTTGGAAGTGCCGTCTCCTCAGTATTGCGCATTCACGAACCCGCGATTAAGAGTCGAACCCAGGACTTGCATGCGAATGCTGAACCTCTCATACAATGAGGTACACTTGGTGTGTACCAGACGACAGAAACTTCTACATAGTGTAAATTCGATCAGTCACACCAAATATCAGTTCTCCAAGACGCAACAACTCATGTGGCTAACGCTCAACCAATCAATGGATGAACAATCAAAAAACCACCCTGAGCAATTCTTTTCAGTTGCCATTCATCTTTTTAATACCTACTTCCAATTCTCGACGCAATGTGTTGCTTCGGCTTTCGATTCCCTTCGAAGTTGGGTATCCACCGAATCCTTCATTCGGTTCAGCAACACTATGCTGAAAACGTTTCCTGGTGCAGATATTAGTGTGATGCCTCTGTAGTTTTCACATTTCCTCAGATCTCCTTTCGTTGATATCTTGATGAAGTGTTCTTCCTACCAGTCAGTCGGCATTTGGTCTTCCTCTAAAATATTCCTGAGTAGAATGTTGAACATGATTACGGTTACTTCTATGCCTGACTAGTGCTCCAGCTGGTATATTGTCAGGTCCTGCTGCTTAACTACTCTTGCCTTGTCTGGTCACCTTGATTCCTTCGACTGTTAGAGGAGCGACATCTGTCGGGAGGTCTGTACGTGCTGCTTCGATGTCCGGTGGATTGAATAGAGCTAGCCTATTCAAAAGTTTCTCACAGTATTCTACCCATCTGTTCCTTTTTATTTTTGAATCTCGGTAATTAGCTTGCCTTCTTTTTCCTTGACTGGTCTCTAGTCTACTATATTCCCCTACTAGTTTCTTCGTTATGCCATTTATCTGTCAAGTTCTTTTCTGGGCACTTCGCTAAGATCGATTGCAGCCTCTCGTAAAACTGATCTTTATCGCCTTCATTGCTAGGTGCATAATATTGGATAATATTCAGTGTAATCCCCTCCTTATTTGTTTTGAATGATGCTTTGATGATTCTGGATTTATGAAATCTCCATTTTATAAGTGCATTTCATGCTTCTTTGGACAGCGTCAGAGCATCTGTCTTTAAGTGTGTGGTGCATTTTTGTTTTCGTGACCGGAGTACTGCAGTATCTCTCCCGTATCTAATCTTAGCTATCTAGCCTAGGTTTCGCAGATTCCGAGAACCGCCAAGTTGTATCTCCTAATTTTTGTTGGTTTAACATCGTGAGAACACTCCATGGGGATGGTGACGCCATGCGCAACCTTCCCCTTTACCCGAGCTTGTGACCAGCAGTAGCCCTAGAAACGTTTTCCTACCAATTAGCTACTCGTAATTGATATTCTTTTTAAACAAACTACTGTAATCCAGATCTCTCAATGTCATAGTAGTAGGACGTCTATATATTAGATCACTTCACCTCGTAAACTAAGAGCTCTCTTGTAAATCCTAGTCTTATTTTCTCAGACTGCGTGTGTTTGTGTCAAAGCTGAAGTATCATTCTATGTTAAACGGCCGATTGATCTAATCGCGCTATTTTCGGTCCCATATCAGTAGTATTTTCTCGAAGATACTCGACACAACACTAAACATAACATGGCCACTAAAAATCTACCCCACACCTCGTCTCCCAATAAATTAAATAAGATTCATAAAATCAAAATAAAAAAATACATGTTAATTGAATAAAATATCCAATTAGATGTAAATAAAATCCAGTACACACATTCTTGTCGCAGTAAATCTATCATAAAGATTATTTTGAAGTTGTGATTTAGTACATTAGTATCAGTATTTATTATTGCTATTTTGTGAAGATGAGGATGTAGTGGACATATTGTGAAGGCGTTTAACTAAATTTTCATCTAATAAATGACTATTATTATCATCATTATTTGATAATTGTGCTTTATTTGGACGGCCAAAACGTTGACAATTTCGACTGCCTCTAAACGCTGAATTGACTTTATTTGATTCTGTTACTGAATATTTTCTTTTTTCATGTGAATCTATTACAGATCCATTAGATATTGAGTATTTTTGCTTTTGTAAGGATTGTTGAAAATTTGATTTCGCTTTCAATGGAGAATCGGATTGTTTTTGTCGATATGGTGTTGTACTACAACTCTTTGTTTGATTCCCTGAGGATGACAAAGTACTTTTAGAAGTATAATTATTATTGATCCCAGGATCATTATAGTTTGAATCTTTGGAAATAAAAAATTTAAATTCTAAATAATTGATGTATAAAGTAATATTTATTGAATATAAAACATTGTTCATAGATACGGAGAAAAAAGTAAAATAAGAAACGTGGAAAACCGATTAACAGCAATTTATCCGAGTTACATATTTCTACTGAGTATTTATCAAACAGTTGTTTTGGATTATTTATGGCTAATGAATTATTATTAGATCATTTTTCATCGATGAGATATAGTTTATTAACTATGAGTGTATTACTTAGATCTGTATAAAAATATACCAGTTATTTACCAATCTACCGAGATCTATTGATCGCAGTGAAGTATTTTACGCATAAATGAATATAGATTAGCAGTAAAGGGACACAATGTATTATCATTGATACCGATGCTTGTAGACATTTATGGACACAAATTTTACTGCTGAAATGTCAGTAATTTGAATGGGGGGAACTCCAAAAATAACGGAGAATTCCTAGCATAGCATTCAGATTAATTAGAACTCAACAGACATATCAACATAGATTCAACACAATGAACCTATATGGACAAGGTTAATTAATCGCAAGTTCACATGTCAGCCAATAAAGATGGTCAACGTGAATGTAAGGACATACGAAGACAATCAATCACAAGCAGTGTCGTTCGTACATAACACTTGATGAATAACCAAAGAGCTAGCTTCTGAAAATGTTATTCAGAATGAAAATGAAGGTTGAACAATTAAACTATCTAGCTAAGAGAACTTAACACAATACCAAAGTTCTAAGTAAACAGTCAAGTGAATGATAATTTAACGTAATTAATGATAAGTAAAACACTTAAGACTATTTATTCTGCATTTCGGTGTTCTGATTGTAAAATGTATTCATTAAAAAAAATAAGATTTCTGAATTCATTCTCAAAAAACTATTAAATACAAGAAAGTAACTTGATGATTGAAGAGATATCGAAATAGAAATACTGATTATTTATCAGTATGCAAAAATTTGGAACTCCGATAAACTCGGTCAATTTTTATAAAAATAACATGCACCTATTTTGTTAACTTGGTGGAAACGATTCTACCGAGACCAAAATTTATATGAAAGTAAACATGAGATTATCTTCAAATAAATTAAACATTGATTAGAAAGTTGTATTTATGACCTTTTCATTTATTTTCTCTGAAGATATGACTTACATAAAGTTATGAAACATCAGAAATACACAAATTTCTACTCATTGAGATATCACAAAAATATATTTATTATAAGATTACCTTATTTAATTCCTGAAATTGATTCCCTTTAAAAATTTAGGTAAATGAAAAACGCCAATTTTCGCAGAGTATATTAGCTTATATTGTGACTGAACAAAATACAATGAATTCATTGTATTCTGTAAATACTGTCATTCCTGCATCGTTTAAATATCTCATTTCAGGCTCATTGAAAGTCAACTTATTTTGCTCAAAGGAATTCAATGTCTAGCTTTACAACAATGACACTAGTTCACTAAAACAAGAACCGTACTTACTATGATAATGTGATTTTCGTGATAGATCATTAGTTTGATGAGGATTAGACACATTCTGCTTATTGTCATACTTTTTTGGTTCACACGGAGACTTATTAGACGTAACAACTATTGAATGGTCTGATGAAACAGATGAAAACTGTTCTTCATAAACACTTGAACTGGATACCCGACTGGATTTATGATATTTTTTAGGCTCATTAGTATTATTATTATTTTGTTGACTTTTTGGCCGGTAATTAACTGGGTGATTCGCTTGTACAGTGTTTCTATATTGTTGTTGATTGTTTACATAACCAACGGGTGATGAATAACAGGACGGGGGAAAGGATTGTTGTCGACCATAGATATTAGATTGCACAAGATGATTTGATAAACTGTTAAGTACGAAAGCATAATTAGGGATAGAGCCAACAGTGTTATTCGGAAGCAAAGGAGTTGGGTTCGGTACTGAAGGAAGTATCGAATGAGAATTAGTACGCATATTTACATGATGCGGTTGTACATGACGATAATTGGAAGTGATAGGTTGTTGTTGAAGATTATTTCTTATCGGTCGAACTTGGTAACTATTTTGTGGTTTAAAAGGATTCCTATAGGTATGTGATGATATGTTTGTTGGAGTATAATTAGGTTTAGGGAAGTTTTGACAAACAGCACTAGTCGAATTCAACTGACGATTTTGATTTGAATTATCATAATGTTGACCCATTGGTTCCTGTGAATTTGATTGTGATGCTTGAGTTTTTTGTAAAAAATGACCAATCAGTGAATGTAATGTAACTATGTCAGAATTATCTCTTTTATTTCTCTTTTTATTTCTTGGACATTCAAATGCTCCATGTCCAGTTTGATTACATATAAAACAAAGCATATTATTTTTTAAAAATCTTTTATCGACAACAATGTATTCTGGCGAAAACAAATGGCTAAAAAAATAAACGTTCAAAATGAAAAGTAATGTTTAAAAATTGATAAAAGAATTAATTTTCCATAGAGAAACAGAACATATATAATACAAAACTAACAAAATCAAATTCAAAGAAAAAGTCTAAGTCAAAGAAATTCGTTATTATAGGATGCTGTAAAGCTTGTAAGATTTTGCCTTTTGAAATGTTTATGAAACATTGCTCATTCGGAAAGACAGCAATGATTAGGTTAGAAGTAACGTATTAGGTGAAGATGGGATGTCGGTTGACGTAACCTTGATACTTCAATAACACGTACTACACATGCCCAAAAACTGTCTATCTAGACTTAAAATACAGGTTGGAAAAACAGTAGGTCGGAAGAAAGAAGTTGTCGAGAAGTTAGTGTATCTAGGTAGCCTCATAAGTGCTGGTGGTGGCGTGAGTGATGAGATCAACGCACGTATAGTGAAGGCCAGATCGGCTTATGCCAATCTGGGCCATCTTTGGCGCCTTCGTGATGTTAGTCTGGCTGTAAAAGGTCGAATCTACAACGCGTCGGTGAGAGCAGTTTCGCTCTATGCTTGTGAAACCTGGCCTCTCCGAGTTGAGGATGTTAGACGACTCTGTGTTTGACCGTCGTTGTCTCCGAAGGATTGCTGACATCCAGTGGCAACATCATGTTAGTAATACACTGGTTTAACATCGTGCGTTCGGGCACAGTCAGTCAGTAACAACGTAGAACTTTGTACGTACGTACATCAGTTCGAGTTGCCATGCCACATTAGCACAGAGATGCAGTGGTCGATTCAAATCCCTTTGTGGTAGGTGTAGTAAGAGTATAAGCAGTAATCGGAAAGATTAGGGTTTGAAGATGTTATTCTAGGATAAATTTGAGAAGAGAAAAAACGGAAGGGACATGAAGAATTCAGAAGATTAGAATTTGGGAGAATAGAAAGAGTGGATGCACCTGCGCCATTGCAAACGATTTTGAGCCATGTCATTCAGGGTCTCTAACCATCGTTTCTATCATCTCGCGGTCCCCAACCAGCTAGTTTACACCTACCGACATGACTCAGTCCACTTGCCAGTGACTTCATGGACTTGTGACATGTTTTGGTCTGGCCGCCCCTAGCTTTATTCCAACCTACTCCCACACCAGGAAACATCGCACGTCGAGGCATTCGATGGTTGGGCATACGTAACACATGTCCCAGCCTTCTCAACTGATGGAGCTTCACTACTTCATCAATTGATTTGCCATCCTTACCTAGTACCCGTTTCCTAACAACTGCATTATTTACTCGATAGTCCCAGGATATATGAGCAATGTTTCGAAGACACCTATGATAAAATACTAGTAATCTACGAATATCCTCTACTCTTACCGGCCATGTTTCACTGCCATAAAGTAGGACGGAACGAACTGCTGCGCAGTAAACACGTCCTTCTGTTGATAAATGGATATCTCGCCTATGCCGTGAATGACGCAAGTTGGCAAAAGCTAGTCGAGCCTTCTGTATCCGTGCTGAGACTTCGTCACACACCAAACCACGAGGACTGATGAGACTCCCAAGATAAGTGAAGCGGTCAACACGCTCAATTACTTTGTTCCCTTTCATTAGTTCGGGTGTCGATGCAACCCAATCCTGAAGCAAAATTTTGCGTTTCGGGGGGGGGTGGAATCGCATCCCGACCATGTTAGCATTGTTGTTTGGAGTGGTCAGAAGACTCTGCATTTTGTCAGCATCTTCACCAAATAAAACTGTGTCATCAGCATATTCTAAGTCAACAAGTGAACCTCGTGGTAGAAGTTCAACCCCTGGAAATCTAGACGAGGAATGTGTTATCTCTAAAGGTACATCGACGACAAAGTTGAACAAGAATGGAGAGAGTGGACAGCCCTGACGAACACCACTTGAGGTAATCAATTCTGATGACAGTCCTCCGTAAGCTCTCACTCGACCAGTTGTGTTCGAGTAGAGAGCCTTTACAAGGTACTTCTTTGGTACTCCTTTCAGTGACAAACACTGCCATAAAACCTCACTATCAACAGAGTCAAATGCTGCCTTAAGGTCGAGAAATATTACGATTGTGGGGCGTCTGAATGTGTGTCTATTTTCTAGGACCTGATATAGTGTGAATATCTGGTCTATACAACCACGTCCAGGTCGAAAACCAGCCTGGTTTTCTCTAGTCTTTTCTTCACGAGCTTTAGTTAAGCGTCGAAGTATTATTGAAGTTAATATTTTAGACACTATATTAGTCAAACTGATTCCTCTGTGATTGTCACAAGAGGACTTTTGTCCTTTCTTATAGACTGGCACAATCAGTGGTTGACACCAGTCAGATGGGATTACGTGCAGTTCCCAGATTCTACCTAAGACCTCAGTTAATCTCACTGCTAATACTGGACCAACATCCTTAAAAATGTCAGGAGTAAACCTGTCAGGGCCTGCTGCTCTCTCTCGCTTCAGATTTCCTATGGCTTTTTCAACTTCGTAAAGAGATGGAGGACCTACATTAACTTGCCATTCATGTTGACCGGAGATCATGGGAAACCCAAGTGTGGCTGAAGGCCAGTTGAACTGGTCCCTAAAGTGTTCTGCCCATCGATCCAATCTTCTGGATTGAGAATGTATAATATGTCCATCTTTATCCGAGATAGTTGGGTTCCTAATACCCGTTTCCTTAACAAGTCTGAACAGTTGTCTGCTGTTACCTATTGTCGCTGCATTTTCCATCTCTCTTGCTTTCGTGATCATTGCGTAGGCTTCTCATCAGCCTGAACTTCAGCTGACTCCGCTCTTCGTTATGTTCAGAGCCAGGTGGAATGAGTTTCCAGCATGTATCAATGCGATAGATGCTGCTGAGATCCAGTGTTGCTCCCTAACCTTATGGTTTACCGTACATGCAGATATCACTGCTGTTTCCATAGCTTTTCGGATGTCATTCCACGCTGCCTCGGACTGGACATCACATACATGGCTGCCTAACTGTTTTCCTAGTTGTTCCTTAACTATACTCTTAGCTTGACTATCATTAAGTAGGCCCCTAAGAGGTTTACTTGCAGCGTCTTTCCTACGTCCAGTACGGCGCAGAAAAATACGCGCTCGCACTAGAGCATGACCTGGATCTAAGCATGTGCTCCAGAATGAGCGACAGTCTTCTATCGAGCCCCTCCATCAGTGACTGATAGCGATGTGATCCATTTGGGTCGAACGTTGGGACGAATTAGGGGGTCGCCATGTTAAAAGATACACGAAGCGTGAATCGCGTTGGTTCGGTATTTTAATGTGGTGAGGTCAAATGAATGACTATTCGGATCCTGTATGTGCGTTTCGGAAACGCGTACTCGAATCGTTTGCATTAGCGACGTGGAGATAAGAGAGGTATTAGGAGGTGTAGGAAGGACTTGAATGTGACCAACTTGGTCTCGTGTGCTGTTACGGGTATGAGGGCTGATATCACTTCCCGGCTGCCCAAACCGTGGAAGGGTATTTCTTGAGGAGCCTGAAAAGGAAATCGGATTAGTGTCGGTCTTAACGACCTGGGAGCGTGACCGCAGAGCGCAAGGGACAACTGCTTGAGGCTGGTCGCGTATGACCTTTTTGTGGGAGGTTTCTAACGTGTTAGCTCCGTTCTTCAAAGGGCATTACCGCAGGAAACGGAGGTGAGGTGTGACACTTTTAGTGTCGACCTGTCCTAACCCCTTCCTTCCTTGTGGGAACGCAGCATCGCTGCAGATGCTGGGTGTCCGAAGGAAGCACCTTACTGCTGTCACACCCCTCTACAGTCAGCAGTACGACTTCGCACTCAGACCTTGAGTTGCTGCTTTTAGTCTTACCGTTCTCCAATCGACCTGCATGGCATGGTAGAACCTACGGGAACATGTGTTCTAGCCTACATAGCTCGGTTGGGTCGTCACGATACGCTAGCCCGACCACGTCAAGGTAGCAACTACGGTAGGGATATCACTAAATTGTTCAGCTGAGTTGAGAAAATATATGACAGAGAATCACTAGTATAGACATGACAGAAATAAAAATAATGATTAGATCTAACAAAAGAGAAGTGAACTTCACTTTATTTCTGCTTAACGAGGCCTGTTTAATAAGGTATCAATGGAATATAATTTATTAACACACTTGTTATTTTCATAAGTGAATGCGATTACCTAAATGTAAACCACTACACTAACTTAAGAGTTTCTCTTCGTTATTATTATCATTATGTCGACCGATGATGATGATAAATATATCGTCGATATGATGGTATTGTGGTATGTGCTACTGATGTCGACAGATATAAGTAGTATGTATCACCAATCGAGAGTGAAATATCTGGCAGCAGAAGATTAAAGAAAAGAGAACAAGAACAGTGAAAGATTGCTGTGGAAATAAAAAAACAGTGAAGTCTGAGACGATTGATTGACATTTTGCAAATGAAGTATTAACTGTAGGGTTCTCAGATTTTACTAAGATGTTCTGTAATTTTGTGTCCAAATACATTAGATTGTCTCCACTTGTGTTCTCGTTCACTACAGTATTGAGTATAGTTTCTAAATAATCTCGTTGAGCGGTTCCTTCTTAAATTTGACAAAAATAAATCAGTATACTTCATCGTCAATGTTTCGTTTGATTAATAAAAATTATGTGATCATTAAGGAAAAATCTACAGACTTTTAATCATGTAATAAATAAAAGACTTACTAGCACCATTGATTTATGGACATTTGTTTGGGCAAGAATGTAGTATGATGAACAAGAACCGTATGGAATACGGTAAGAATATAAAGAAACACTAGAAAAGTCAAATTTAGTGCAAGAAAAATGAAATAATTAATCATAATGTCTTTGCAAAAAAATGAATATAACTAAGATATATGTAGATACCTAGATGTTTACTACTTGTCAATAAGAATAATTTTCCAAAATACCGGATTTGAAAAAAGAAAACGGTTAATAATAGCCTAATTAGTCGTTACAACCCATAACATCATTACTGTTTTTGATTTGTTGACGGAATTGATGAATTTGAGGTCGTCTGTTAAGGAGGAATAACATGAATGAGTTCAGTGACAACTACGAAATGTAATGACCGAATTTCGTTGTAAGTTTACTTGATTTTTAATTCCTTCTCTAGTCTGTAATTTATGACATTCACAAGATAGTCCTCAAAACAAATGGATAATATTCATTAATTTGTGTGATGAAAAATCGAACTAAATTCGCCTGACCAGTGTTCATAAGCATCATGTATATAATTGCATTAAATAAGATAAAGATATTCGTACAACAAGTGAAAACACACAACTACATTACCTCTTCATGCTACATAGTTATAAATAATTGAAAATCTCAAGTATCTGAATACTGCGGGTGACATAATTGGCATGTCAGATAAGGAGTGTCTAAATAGTTAAAGTGAAGCAAAAAATACACTAATCTTAATCATTCTAGTGTTATTATAAAACTAATCTAACTGTCAAACCATCACATATATAAAGTAAGTATTTAGTAGTTTTCAGTCATATGATATCTAGCATTTGGGATCTGAAAAAAAATCGACGGCTCTGTATTTTGTGACGGAAACACTTATAGAACATAGAAATCCTGTAATAAACCTGAAGCTAGTGAAAAAGTTTTGTATGCGATTCCATCTCCATCCAGGAGGTCCACTTATCGACTTAGAATACGCAGATGACATAGTCCTGTTTGGTGAAGACGCTGACAAAATGCAGAGTCTTCTGGTAGCACTGAGCAACAATGCCAGGATGTTTGGAATGCGCTTCTCTCCCTCGAAATGCAAGTTGTTGCTTCAGGACTGGTCTGCGTTAACACCTGAACTAAGGATAGGGAGTGAAGTAGTCAAACGCGTTGACAACTTCACTCATCTTGGAAGTCTGATCAGCCCTAATGGGTTGGTGTCTGACGAAATCTCAACACGGATTCGAAAAGCTCGTTCGGCTTTTGCCAACTTACGTCACCTGTGGCGAAGGCGAGATATCCGTCTATCAATAAAAGGACGAGTATACTGCGCGGCAGTCCGTTCTGTTTTACTTTACGGTAGCGAAACATGGCCATTAAGAGTTGAAGACACTCGTAAGCTACTAGTATTTGACCACAGATGCCTTAGAAATATTGCTGGCGTCTGCTGGGATAATCGGGTAAGTAATAGTGAGGTTAGACGCAGGGTATTAGGAAAGGATGGTAAATCAGTTGATGAGGTTGTGAATCTTCAATAACTGAGATGGTTGGGACACGTGTTACGTATGCCTGAACACCGATTACCACGACGTGCAATGCTATCCGGTATTGGAAATGGTTGGAAGAAAGTTAGGGGCGGTCAAACCAAAACGTGGCATTAGTGCTTGAAGTCACTAACTTCTAGTCTGAGCCATGTTGGTAGATGCAGACTACTTGGTCGGGGTCCGCGTGACTATCGTAACCAATGGTTGGAGACTCTTGGTGACATGGCTCAGAATCGATCACAATGGCGTCGGTGTATACACTCCCTGTCTTCCCTTAAACTAAGAGATTAAAAGCGCTTCATATCTTTCTTTCTACTAACCAATTCTTTCTTCTTGTACTATATCTCTATATGCAATCTTTCTCTTATATATTACCACCTTTTACCTAACCACTGTTATGAATCCGGTGTTCATCTTGTTGTGCTGATGCGGTATGGCAACCTGGACCGATGCACATATGTGCCTGGTCCTACGTTGTAGCTGACTGACTGATGCGATTCCATAAGCTTTAATACTGTTCATTGAGACTGTGATAAGATTTAGTTGATTTTGATAAAATAAAAATAATAAAATTACTGTAAATTTCTCCAGTTAGAGTTGTTGATATTTTATTTCTCTTTAAAACTTTAGTTTTCATGATTTATTCAAATCATTCCATGAATATATCTACATTCAGTTAGTAGAAAAGCAGAAACTAGGTCTTACGTATCCATATGTTAATAGAATTACTTATATAGTAACTGATAAAAAAACAATGAAGCAGTTTTCGTATTAAAATTTGTGTGCACAAATTACATTTATCACAGAAAATTTATTATAGCTGTTAATCATTTCTATGATATGAACTTGTTTCATATACGAAGAAACTACTTTCCCTTCATAAAAATAAAGACTGTAGTTTGTTATGAGGAAATTTCCTTTTCGACGATATTATTTTCTGAAGCTGTACAACCGTATTTATACGTAATTTGTCACATGTAATGGTGTGTGGTAAAACAGAGGAGTATTACAAAGTTATCAAAGAAAGTCAAACTTGTTCAAATAGAAGTCAACAAAAATGAAATAATGTTGCACAATATAGTCAGGATTATTGAAAATTTACGGCGTTGAATATGATAATTTATGAATTGCAGGGTGTCATTTCAATGTAATTAACGTTTTCAAGTATTGAATGAAAAATGGGTGGATTTATTTAATAAAGTAATTCACAATCATCAAGAGCATACGTTTTTTTATAGTTTCAGAAATAATAAAAGGTAATAATCTGTGGAATAAAAGATAAAGATAACTGTTTACTTAATAAAGAAGAAGGTAATAATTAGCGATTATAATTTGTAAAATTCAAAGGGATTGTTGAGCCTTGGGAAAATAAGTGATTGAACGTTATCCTTTTGTACACCTACAGATACGATTATACAGCTTCCTAAAATAATATCATTGAAGAGAGAATTTTCTTTTTTTTAATGAATCAATGAATTTCTTTCGTTTTTTAAAGTCTTAATATATATTACGTAATATTGTTGTCAGTACTATTAACACAATATTTTAAATAACATTATAACTTACTAGAATGACTTAAACCAGCAGTAAGGTTATGATTTAAATTAAAAGGATCTACAAACGTAAAAAACAAAGAGAAATAAGTACAAAATAATTATTTGAACACTGAACAAAAAATTAACAAATTCAACTGTTAGTTTCATCAAGTAGTGTCCACACTCACAATTAATCATCCGTTTAAGGACAAGAAAAATGTACTTTGAAAACCAAAAAAGATTGAGCGTAGTATATATATATATATATATATATATATATATATATATATATATATATATATATATATATATATATATATATATATATATATATATGGAAGCAGCAAACCCAAGGTCCGAAGGCGAAGTCGTACTGCTAACTACCTAAAGATGTGACGACAGTATGATGTTTCTTTAAGACAACCAGCATAACAGCGATGCTGCCTACTCACAAAGAAGGGTGAGGTTAGAAAAGCTCGACCCTAAAAATGCACACCTCGCCTTATCCTACGGATATCCATCTCCGGCGATAGGGTCTCAACAGATACGGAGATAACACGAAAATTACTCTCAGAAATGTCGTGTGTGATCAACCTCAAGCAGTTGTCCCTTGGGCACTGCGGTCACGCTCTCAGGTCATTAACACAACACCTAACACAATTTCCTTTCCAGGTACCTCCAGAATAACCCTTCCACGGTGTGCGCAACCAGGAAGTAATAACAGCTCTCATACTGCAAACAGCACCCAGGATCACTGTATTCACAATCAACCTCCCTCTTCAGTTCCTGTTATTCCTCCTACATCGACTTTCAACACTAAACTTCCTCTTTTGGTTTCCTCCTCAAGTGTAACCATAGCCAACAATTCTAGTGCGCAAAATATCGTCCCAAGTCTACTAAAACCTCGCTCCAAACTACACATTGGAGCCTTCAACGTACGCACCCTATGTTGAATCGGTCAGCAAGCCTTCTTGGCTGAAACTCTAGAATCTCGTACCATCGATGTATGCTGTGTCTCTGAATCACACATACAGTATCCTATTGTGATCATACACTTGACCTCAACTCGCCCAAACGGAGAGTCGACGAGATACACCCTTCGTGTATCTGGCAACCTGATGGCTGGCTCTCCTGAATGTACGCATAGCACTAAGAACGAAGGCAGAAAAAGCACTATTAGGGTGGATCCCTGTTAAAAGTCGTCTATGTGTTGTTCAGCTAAACGGCTCCGTAAGAACTCGGAAGGTTAGGGATACATGAGGTTGCCTTTTCATCATTTCTGCGTACGCTCCCACTAACTGCAGCCTGGATGAAGTGAAAGTTGACTTTTACCAAAAGACCTCTGATCTTCTTCATAAAGCTAAACGCTCAGACATAGTACTCGTAGCAAGTGACACCGTCTAACATAATGACCTAATGCAACAAACCAACGATCGACTCAAATAGACCATATTGATAACAGTCATCAATAGAAAGGCTCAACAGAAGACTGGTTCATTTCTGAATACCTGGTTCAAAAACGAACATGCTCGAATACCAGTATGCATTTGCTAGGTTAACCAAAAGTCTGACGAACGACCAAGAGTAGTGATGGGCAACAAAATTAAAAGAGATGGAAAAGGCAGCGGCTGTAGATAACATCAGATAGCTTTTCAGACTAGTAGAAGAAACTGGAATTAGGAAGTCAAGTGAAAGTGAGATGACCTCGGCAAAGGACGACACTTTTATCTGTTCTCGGTCCAGACGTTTAGAACGATGGGCGGAACACTAGAGAACAGTTTAGCTGGCATTCAGCTGCTCTACAAATACCCATCATTCTCAAACAGCCTGAATGGTACATTGAAGTAGGTCCCCCAACTCTAGTTGAAGTTCAGAAAGCTATAGCTAATCTGAAACGAGGAAGAGCAGCTGATCCATTTGGATCAGCCCCAGAGATCTTTAGGGATGGTGGTCTAGTTTTAGCGATTAGGTTGACTAATATTTTAGCTAAACTCTGGTAGTTAGACGTATTTCCATATGACTGGTCGCAATCACTGATTGACCCAATAGATAAGAAGGGGTCAAAATCATCCTGTAATCACCATACAGGAATTAGTTTGTCTAACATAGCATCTAGCATACTAACATCAATAATTGTCGGATGTTTAACACAGACTCGAGAACTTCAAACGTGAGAAAACCAGGCTGGTTTCAGAATTGGTCGTGGCTGCATCGACCACATATTCACCATTCGTCAGATTCTAGAACATAGGCATACTTATCGGCGTCCGACAATGGTGGTTTTTCTTGACTTAGAAACAGCATTTGACTCTGTATACCGAGAGGTTCTGTGGCAGTGTCTGTCATTACAGGGTGTACCTCAGAAGTACATAAACCTTGTGAAGGCTCTTTACTCGAACACTACTAGTCGAGTTAGAGCTTCTGGTGAACTGTTATCTGCTTTTGCAACCTCAAATGGTGTCCGTCAAGGCTGTCCACTTTCTCCATTTTTCTTTAACTGCATCAAAGGCCTACTGATGGGAATAACGTTCTCGTCGACTGAATTCTCGGGTATTGATCTCCTTCCAGGAGGTCCCCTTATCGACTTAGATTACGCAGATGACATCATGTTGTTTGGTGAGAACGCTGATAAAATGCGGAGTCTTTTGGTAGCACTGAACAACAATGTCAAGATGTTTGAGATGCGTTTCTCCCCTCTAAATGCAAGTTATTGTTTCAGGACTGGTCTGCGTCGACACCTGAACTAAGGATAGGGAGTGAAGTAGTCAAACGCGTTGACAACTTCACTCATCTTGGAAGTCTGATCAGCCCTAATGGGTTGGTGTCTGACGAAATCTCAACACGGATTCGAAAAGCTCGTTCGGCTTTTGCCAACTTACGTCACCTGTGGCGAAGGCGAGATATCCGTCTATCAAAAAAGGACGAATATACTGCGCGGCAGTCCGTTCTGTTTTAATTTACGGCAGTGAAACATGGCCATTAAGAGTAGAAGACACTCGTAAGCTACTAGTATTTGACCACAGATGCCTTAGAAATATTACTGGCGTCTGCTGGGATCACCGGGTAGGTAATATTGAGGTTAGACGGAGGGTAATAGGGAATAATGGTAAATCAGTTGATGAGGTTGTGAATCTTCAATAACTGAGATGGTTGGGCCACGTGTTACGTATGTCTGAACACCGATTACCACGACGCGCAATGCTGACTAGTGTTGGAGACGGTTGCAAGAAAGTTAGTGGTGACCAAACCAAAACGTATCATCAGTCCTTCAAGTCATTAACTTCTGTTCTTAGCCATGTTGGTAGATGCAGACTACCTACCTGGTTGCAGTTCGCGTGACTATCGTAACCAATGGTTGGACACTCAGGGTGACATGATTTTGAATCGATCACAATGGTACAGGTGTATACACTCTTAAATTTCCCGTAAACCATGAGATTAAAATACTTTATGCCAATTATTTTTCCATGTATCATATCCTTACATACAATCTTTATTTCTATATGTTACTATCATTGAAGTAACTACTTCTATGAATTTGACGTTGATCTTATTAGCTAATAAATAAAAAAATGAGACAAGTATGGAGATTAATTTTTGGTCTTTTCAATTGTGTAAACGTATGATATTTTAGCACTGTTACGTAATTAATAACCTAAACTATATAAGAATTTCACGCAAACTTACAAATTATCCACCTCTATCTTGAAATGTAGCTAAGTAATTTAATGTACACCATTCAACTATACTCAAAATATTCATTCTATGTAATGAAAAACAAAAATTCAGTTCGATGTTCGAGTGTATACATAATCATTTTCCATCTGAAATCGAAACACTAGAAGAAATATGTTGAAAGTACAGAGTTAGTTTATTCTGAATGGAAATTCCTATAGTGAAAAAATAGGCGAAGAAAAGTGATGATCAAGTGGTGTGTGTGTGTGTGTATTCATACTGTGAGCATCAATAAAAAACGTAGTGAATTTTCGAAGTGCTTCGAATGATCACTTAAAGATGGATAAAAATTTCTACTCAGGCTTTGTGATTTTATATATATATATATATATATATGGTCAACTCACCTTCAATAGCGAATAATGATCTCCACATTTTCACAAATCGTATTAACAATTTCTTTTGTCTAATAGTTACAACATATTTATCACGATTGAACTCGAATAGATAATAACGTAGAAATCCCAACCACATTTCTCCGACTGATTGTGACGGATTAGCTGGTTTCCATAAACGATTCTAATGAGTATATACATATACATATAGGGAGCAATAAGAAAACTTTAGTACATATAATAAGAGCACGAATTCGTTACAATTTAAAAGATAAATAGAATAATGTGAAATTAATGGAAAGTTTAGTGATACAAAGTTATTTAGCTCAATTTAATAGGATGTAAGGTTCCAATTAATGATAGCTATATACGATAAGTAGATCTGGAACGAAAAAAAATCGTTTTTAAAACTAAGTAACTGTTTACTTATTGAATACTATCAACTTGATATATTTTAACATCATAATTCGAATTTTATCTAGTGTAAACCAGTATTAAACACTTTTACTCATTTGAAATAAGTGAACGTAAACTTAGAGCATAAGTTCATAGATTAAAATCTAGCTTCATCAATATTGTGGTTCAGGTGAAGAGGGAAACTATCATGCTTAAAGAATAACTCAGTCCATAATGTTTTACTAGGTAAATAAGTTAGATTAAAGCATAAAAATTAGATGGATTTGAAGCCAAAAGATATATGAATAAAATATGAGAGCTGGCACTGTATATAAATGATTACAAAAATTTAATTTGCGTAAATGTAGCATCTGAAATTTTTATACTTGATTAAATCGACTGTATTTGGAATGAATCAGTTTGTTGGGATGAGAATAAACACTCTCATTCGCCATTCCGACCGTGCACTTGGCGACCTACCAAAATGAAGCAATAATTATTGTTTACATTATCTTCAACCATAATGGAGAGTGGTTTTCATCATTTGTTGTTCTTGCAGGCTTACACGAAAAATGTTAAGTTTTCTAAAATGAAAATACCACTCCATCATGCTACGAAAGTGTCATATGTAGCTCAGTCATTCATGATGGAAGAAAAATTACAACATAGAAAAAGTCATACCTCCAATTCACTCCATGATAAAAATTATTCCAAACTATCTACAACTGAGTGACCAAATAAACAAAAACAACTTTATAGGTATCATTACCAAGGTTTGACTTGATGATTTCGAATAAATTGAGCATTGGGTAGATTGTTACAAATAAATAACATATTTTTAATATCCCAATGAGCAGAAAAATTAGATTTTCTACTCATTGGGATATTACAAATAAATTATTCATTTAAAAACAACTTTAGTTACTGACTATGATACACGTAGATGACTTGGCAATGTGGAGTTTATCTCCTGTCGCATGCTGTCAAAGCATTTTTCGAAAAATCGGTATTACAAGGAGTTAATCATTTTAACTAATCTCGTTTAGATCATGTGGCTGATAATTGATTGATATATATACGGATACGTAGGATCCACCTAGGGGAGTTGGAAAACCCTGATTTCAAACCAATGGGCTACAGATCCTGCGGAAACAAATGGCGTATGAACCATTCGTGGATCACCGGCTACCATGGGACTGCATCTCCTTACGTTGCTCCACTGCCTTGTGGATTAGACCTTTATATCAAAGGCTCCGAGTATGCTCCTCAAATAAAGCCACCTTCTTCGGTCTGGGCACCCGGGCAGTATCACAGCCGTCATACAAATAGAATGGGATTACTAGAAATACTGTTCTTGCTCCAATTAAAATTCACGAAACTCACATCCATTTGATAATATTCATTTTTATTTCTTTGATATACATCACTAATCTACTCTCTTCTATTTTCACTATGCATATTCTTATTTTTCAAATTATACAGCAGCTCGTCTATGGTGATAACCCTGTTCCGTCTAAACGATCTCAAGTCAATGAATGGTCGAAAGTTGAATGCTATCATCAACTACGAATACTGAAACATTGTTTCTGAAACCACGTACAACATTAAAACTGTCCTAATTTAAAGCTCAAACACTAAGACAGATCGGACAACAGATAGGATTGATTATATCTTTAGAAAGTCATAACATTGATGTATGTTATCTATCACAGACCTGTATTCAAGACTTTAGTGAAGTAATACAGATTCGTTCTCCATCTGTCGCTCCAAAAAGCTTGTTTCACGTGCATTTATCCGGGGATTCTGTGGCACCTTCATCTGGTTTTGCAGACGTTGTTATCGCATAAGCTTTAGAGCCAAGGCATCACTAACTGATTGGATACCCAACAACAGTTGGTTATGTGCTGTCTGATTAAAAAGTTCCATCAAAGTACGAAGAAATCGGTACAAGAAACGACGTCTTTTCGGCATCTCCACATACGCTCCGACAGACTTCATTACTAATGCGATCAAGGAAGAGCTTTATAACTAGTTAACTGTTCTTCCACAGAAAGTGAGTTCGACAGACATTGTAGTACCATCCGGAGACTTCAATACTCAGGTCAGATTCCTAGGCACAGAAGAGAGTCGTTAGGGTAGCCGATGGGGAGCTGGTGGTTGCAGGTCGTATAACGGTAACCGTCCACTGTAACTCTGCGGAGACTACAACCTGTTTCTGCCTAGCACTAAATACCGACATAGTCATCAAAGTTGGGCTACCAGGCTTCTCTCTGCATCTCAAGCCTGAACTAACATTGATGCGGTATGGTTGTATACAAGACTGTCTTTCTTTTTGGTGTACCTAACTAGACTCTGATCGTGCCCTTCTTTTCACTAATCTTACTTTACGTTTCAGTGGTCAATATATTCATCGTCCTAAACAGAGTGATATCAGTAATTATCAAGTCGAGTTAGGTTCAAGGCTAGCTACCAACCCACTGAAAAGTATAGGTGAACATTGGTACAATTGCTTGCAGCTTCGCGAAACGTCCCACCAGCAAGCAATGGGTTTCTTCAGATTCCCTACAACTCATCGAAGCCCGTTGGTCTACTCTGGGTGAATTCGAGTTTGACCACAAACGATGGGACAGTGTAATCACACTGTTGCAGAGTCCTATACTGAAACGTAACAGCTCTCCAGTACTTTCTAGTCATCAATACTTTCTTAATTAAGGAAAGAAGTATTGTGTATACAGTTAAATAGACTTTGTTAAACACGACATACAATGTATTTAAATGTGTGAAACCTATCTTAAACAGCTTTATACTAGAAATACAGAAGTTACACTTGCTGGTTTAGAAATAAAATACGGTAAGTAAATGTTTACTTTGTAAATTACTGGAAGTTACCGCATGAGTTAACACAACTTTTCCTGTATGTCTCAAGATAACACTTGGCAGATAAACTTCAATGCCTTTCATTACCATTTCCAACATATCTAAATACTGTTCACACGAGTATCAAACAACGAAATAAAAAGTCCGATGAGATGTTAAGAAATAAGATTAATATAGTATCGTTGACAACATCAATGATGTGGAATATATGATGATCATATTAGCTATAGGAATGAACCGTATTAAAACCTATCTTTTTCGAATTCCCTCTTTCTAATGTCTGTTAAAGTCTTAAATATCACTGTTTCTGGGATGCTACAAGCAACCACGAAAGATGAATGTGACTTTCTGGTTAAGGAACTGAATACGTTGTTGACAAAGGTCTGGGAACTAGAGAGTGTTCCAACATGATGGAATGAGTCGATAGTTGTTTCTATCTTTAAAAAGGGTTCACGTCGTTCCTGTAACAACTATCGGGGGATAAGTCTACTTCCGAATGCGTCCAAGCTGTTGGCTTCCATCATACTTCGTAGGTTGTTCGAAACCCGAGAAAGGTTGACTCGCGAGGAGCAGGCTGGTTTTCGTTCTGGTCGAGTATGTATTGATTATATCTTCACCCTCTGCCAAATGTTAGGACACCTTCATATTTATCGAAGGCTAACAATCGTAGTGTTTCTTGACATCAGGGGTGCCTTCGATTCGTTGGACAGGACTGTTATCTGGGATTGTCTATTGAAGAAGGATGTGCCTGAGAAGTTTGTTAACATCCTAAAGGCCCTACACCTTAGGCAGAGTGAGGGCATACAACCACCTCTCTCCACTGTTCCATTCAAGCAGTGGGGTTAGGCAGGGTTGCCCAATCTCACCATTCATCTTCAACTTTTCCATCGACGACATTCTGGAAACAGCTCTGATGGATGTAGGTAATGGCGATGTGGATCTGTTGCCTGAAGAAAAACTTTTTGACCTTGAGTATGCGTATGATATTGTTTTACTGCGCGATGATACCCAAGCCACGCAATCCGCACTTAATCAGTTGGGAATTAGTGTCCGTAGGTATGGCAAGTGCTTCGCACCTTCCAGGTGCAAAGTATTTTTACAACTGTCAGGACGCTAAATAATAAATAAATTCTTGATAATTAATAAGAACTGGTTATACTTACTATAACGGATAAATCATTTTGATACCAGACATTCCAACCATTGACAAGATTAGTTGGTTTTGTTGATCCTTCATAAAGCTAAATCAGGAAGGAAAAATGAAAGAAGATAAAATACAATCTAGCTGAAGATTTTCTTTTGTGAACACTCAATAATATGTCAAGTTTTTTTGAAAATCAAACATTATTCTTCTAAAAGTGATTTAAAGTTGATCAAGACATATATATACAGGTTATTGTTTTTACTTCTTGTAAAACAGGGAGTTGATCAATTTGTTGAAGATAGTGGATTAGCATAATGATCCAAGCATAAGAAGAAATACCACCGGCAGCTGCTCTCCCAATTTTTGTTATCTATGAAAAAGCAAGAAAAAAAGAAATATTGATTGGTGAACAATCCCAAAAAGTTAACTTTGAGATTATTTGATTAAAAAAATTCTATAGAGTAATCAATCAAAGAAGGGTAAATAAATTAGTATTTTACATTACGTCGGAAATTTCATTACAAACAAATTTAAATGCATTGTAGTTTTCCTTCTGAGTATTTCTGAAAATATATTAATTTATTTATAACAATTTAACCAATGCTCAATGAATTCAAAATTATCAAGTCAAACCTCGGTAATGATACTTATGGAAATTACTGTTATCGTAAAGCAATCGCCGACTTTTAATAAACAGATAGAAAAGTCTAAAAACTTTGTTTTAAATAACAGCTAACAACCTAGAAAGTTATATACTTTCACGATTATACTAGGATAACTTTGCCTGGAGCCTTTCTAAGGTTACTTTCGGTCCTGCACCCGGATAAAAAGCAGGATTTTTGTAAGAGGTTAACAACTTCATTCTGTAGAAAGCAAACATTGCTGAGAAAACTCTAACCATGAAAAAGCATTTATTTATTGTAGTAAAGTGAAATACTTTAATTAAACTATGGTAATAGGAACAAATAGTTGTATAAAAACAGATCGACATTTAGAAAAATATAAAAATGTATTACCTTTGTGACAGTTTTTAAAGCAATTCCTAGAGTACGAAGTTTTGGCTCAATTTTGGTGTAAAATGCAAGCATTCGTGTATTTGAAAGAGCCTACAAATGTTTACATAAGAAAATATAGAATAAACAGAAAACTAAATGACATTAATTACGTAATCTGAAAAGTACAATGTTTCGCTGTTTAGTTTTATAATAACAAGAATGACTAATATTATGCGAACAATAGTTAAAAGTCACAAACTCAGTACTTGTACATTGTATCTAATCTTTTATTAAATAGATCAAAGGTTTATAGCATAACCCTAAGAATTTCATGAAAAAAAAACTCGATAAATTATATTGATGCATTAAAACGGTTGACGCAGGACTGTGAAGGTAACCACAAAAAGTTTACTTGTTGGATTTAATCCTTCCTACTTGTCCAAAGAAATCCACTTATTACAAATATAGGTTAAGTGTTTGGTGAAATTCACCATCGACTTCATATAAACTGCAGTCAAAAAGTGTATGACAGGAAACTACAAACAGATTTTAGTGTCCCACTGTTTCTTTCTTAGGAATCATTTGGCAGAACAACGCAAAGTCGACTGTGATGAGATGTAGTCAAAGAGTCAACTTTTCGCTCTAAAGACTAATTCAACCTAACGTTACATTTATAAACTCACGAAAACTAACTGCTGAATTCACAGATAGAAAATTGAACTAAACTAATCGAGTATCCACATTGGATCGCATATATTATAAAAACACTGTAAATGAATATGTTTTACGATGCTATAATTTTGAATACAGCCTTCCCAACCGATTCAATAAGTCAATTTAATGTTGGAAGCAGAGTTAAAAAGATATGTCAAACTGTGAGAATGATTGTGAAAAGAAAATGAATATACAGAAACAAACTAAGACAAAGAGGACTGAGGATGAATACATTTTTGTTGTACTGTGAATAAACCGACGAGTGATGCTGTCTGGACCTAGACCATGAAGTTGAAATTTTCAAGAAATAGTTCAAGATAGAAAAGGAGTTGATGTTGATCAACCTCAGGAGAAAACTGTCTAAAGTCGGACAGTACAAAGAAAATTCTGAAAAAGAACATATTGCCATTGATCATAATGTTCTATTCCCAATTCATAAATCTAAGTGCTACACATAACCCATTTTAAAAAAAAGAACAGCTTAGGTTCCATATCTAAGGAATGGTTACCACATTTATTAAAAGTTTAAGATAAATAATGCGCAAAAGTTAACTCGGATCTTCTATTCAAATATAGATATTTCCATGTTATAACTACTTACGGCTGATGGGTTTGCTACATAAAAGTACCTATAGGTATCGACAGGATCAAAAAGCGACGTCCATCAAAAATATGGTTTGAGGTGGCTGGAATATCTCATATACACTTGACTACACGTCCTAAATAGTAAGACATGTTTATTAAAGTTAAAACTGATCACATAGTGATCAATTCTCATAAATCTAGACTGTTAATCTTCATTGTATAAGGAGTGCTAGTTTCATTAGTCGCTCTTTGAAAAGTTGTTTCAGAGATCAAACTAACTAAATATGTCTATTTTTTTAGTCAAATAATTCTTTCAGATATCGTTAGTAGATAACACAGAGACATTAGTATAATAATAATAATAATAAGAATAATAAAAACAATAATAATAACAGTGTTCAACAGTCGTCATTAAAAGATAATTACCAGGTAATTTGAAAAACTTATATCTGCTTCAAATGTATTACTAAAAGACACTTTCAATATTGGTACACGAGCTGTGAGAATCGGTTGAATATGAGTAATATTTAATCGATTTCTACAATATGATAATTGTTTTTTGAATTGTCGAATTAACTAAAACAAAAATTGTAACAGATGTCAATAACAAACAAACAAACAAAAAAAGATCAATCAATTATGTGTAAAACGATGCATAACATGGATAGAATGATTTATTAATAATGGAAAATCAATTGAAAAAATGGATTAGTTTAATTTTAAAATTAATTAAAAATATGATAGTGAGTAAAATATTTGAAATTTTGTATCATTCGATTATTTTATAAAAAAATATGCTGAGTTAATTAAGAAAAAAAATTAATGAAGATTAACATTTAACCAACTACTATGTATTTTTAAATTAACTAGTAACTATGACATAGATCAACAACAACAACAACAAAAAACGAATTGTTTTCAGAGGATATATTTATAGATCATGTTATAAATTCTAAATCATCTTCATAGATTCAAAAAGTTCGTTTGGTTTTTGTTAACTTACGTCAATTATAACGAAGGCAAGATATTCATCTATCAATTAGGGAACGAGTATACTGAGCAGTAGTTTGTTCTGTTCTAATTTTCAGCTGTGTAATGTAATAATTACGGATAGATGATACTCGTAAGCTACTAGTATTTGATCACAGATGTCTTAGGAATATCTCTCACATCTGCTGGGATCACTGGGTAAGTAATAGTAAGGTTAGACGCAGGGTATTAGCGAATGATAAATCGATCACATTTGCATCACTAAAAAACCTAGAAGGTCGAAGGAAGACATGAGAAGTAGGAGAGGAGCTGACGTAACTACAGATCACCATCTACCTGATGGCTGTCAAGATGAAACAGAAGCTCAAGGAACACTGGAACATTGGGGAAACAGCATTACAAAGGTTCAATACAGCCTTCCTTCAAGATACTAACGAATTCAACGAATTCAAGATAACAATCAACAAGAAATTCCGACCCTTACGAGATTTACTCAGAGAAAAACAAACTACTATAGAGGACAATTGGAAAGGGATCCCAGAAGCTAGAACTTCAACGTGTCAAGAGGTTCTGGGCCTCAACAAGCATCACCATAAGGAACGGATCCTTATGAAAACACTGGACGAGATCCAAAAAAAGGAAGAAAAAGAAGACAGCAATTAACAAAAGCCGAACAGGAAAACAGAAAGTCAAGGCACAAGCTGAATATACTGAAGAAAACAAGTAAGTGACAAGGAGCATTAGAGCTAACATTTAGAAATACGTGAAAGACCTGACAATGACAGTGGAAAAAGCTACAACAGAAAGAAATATAAGACAACTATATGACACAACGAAGAAATAAGTAGAGAAATATAGTAAACCAGAGAGATTAGTCAAGAATAAAGAAGGCAGACCAATCACCAAGATTCAAGAACAGAGGAATAGATGGGTAAAATGCTGTGAGGCACTCTTGAATAGGCCAGCTCCATTCAGTCCGCTGGACATCGAAGCAGCACATAAAGAAGTCACTCGACCTAGGGTCGATAGCACTCGATCTGCACTAAGAACGACTTGACACACATAACATTGATCACCACCCAGTGATCAATCAAACTTGATCACATCTCAGACCTACAGAAGGCCGGTCGCGGCCCGTATAGCCTGGTAGTAATTTCTCTGAATGTTAACCTGAGCGACACGGGATTGAACTAGTCGAGAAGCACCAGTTCCCTCAAGTTTACAAGTATACCTTGCTGAAAAGCGCGAAGTAGCACGAAACCCGGGTTCACAGTTTCCTGTTGCCTACATCTAACCACCATCTTATTTAGAAAGGGAGAAAAGCATCCCTAACATCATGGCATTGTTGCTCAGTGCTACCAAAACACTCTGCATTTTATCAGCGTTTTCACCAAACAACACGATGTCATCTGCGTATTCTGAGTCGATAAGTGGACCTCATGGAAAGAGATCAATTACTGAGAATTCAGTCGACGAGAACGTTATTCCCATCAGTAGGCCATTGATGAAGTTAAAGAAGTAAAGTAGTGAAGTTTCATCAGTTAAGATGGCTGGGATATGTGTTACGTAAGCCTAACCATCAAATGCCCTGACGTGCGATGTTTTCTGGTGTCAGAGTAGCTTGGAAGAAAGCTAGGGGCGGCCAGGAAAAACATGGCACAAGTCCATGAAGTCACTGACAAGTGGACTGAGTCATGTTGGTAGGTGTAGACTAGCTGGTTGGGATCCGAGAGATGATGGCAAACGATGGTTAGAGACCCTGAATGACATGGCTCAAAATCGTTTGAGATGGCGCAGGTGCATCCATTCTTCGTGTTCTCCCAAATTCTAATCTTATGAATTCTTCATGTCCCTTTTTTCCTCTTTCCAAATTTATTTCACTGAATTATACTCTTTAAATAACATCTCCAAACCCTAATCTTCCCGATCACTGCTTACACTCTTGCTACCTCTACCACTACGGTATTTAAATCGACCACTGCATCTCTGTGCTAATGTGGTGTGGCAACTCGAACTGATGTGCGTACGTACGAAGTTCTACGTTCTTACTGACTGACTGACCAAACAGATATTCAGAAACGAAGTCTTCTATCTGGCATCTCCAAGGATGACTGATGGCAATATGGCCTATTGAAGTCCATCGTTGGTTTGTTGCAGGAGGTCGTTACGTTAGACGATGTCTCTCTTTATGTCTAAAATCAGTGTTTGCTAAAAATAAACGATTATCTGAACACAGTTGCAGCAAATGATCACCATTATCTGTTCGTTGAGCCGGGATACTAAAATACTCACCTCAATGTCTTTCTGTTTGATTCAATATACTTACTTGTGCATTAAAGTCATTTGATACATGTACTATGTCCTCGACGTGAGACAACAGGCGTAAGTGTTAGGGACTGATGGTCAATCAGTTGATGAGGTTGTGAATCTTCAATAACTGAGATGGTTGGACCACGTGTTACGTATGTCTGAACACCGATTACCACGACGCGCAATGATGACTAGTGTTGGAGACGGTTGCAAGAAAGTTAGTGGTGACCAAACCAAAACGTATCATCAGTCCTTCAAGTCATTAACTTCTGTTCTTAGCCATGTTGGTAGATGCAGACTACCTACCTGGTTGCAGTTCGCGTGACTATCGTAACCAATGGTTGGACACTCAGGGTGACATGAATTTGAATCGATCACAATGGTACAGGTGTATACACTATTAGATTTCCCGTAAACCGTGAGATTGAAATACTTTATACCAATTCTTTTTCCTTGTATCATATCCTTATATAAAATCTTTATTTCTATATGTTACTATCATTGAAGTAACTACTTCTATAAACTTGATGTTGATCTTGTTGTGTTAATGAATTGTGGTAACTTGGACGGATGGATTACAAGTCTAGGCTTATAAAACTTGTACACACATTTTAAATAATAAAACTTTGATGGAATTTAATTGATTTCGCAATGAATAACAATAAAACTTGATAATTTAGGTTAAATTAAGTGAAATAAATTTGAAACTATGATATTATGAAAGATGTTGGAATAATTCAACGTCTAACATCAGTTATAATAATTTTCAATGTCTCTTTAAAAGACGTTCTAAGAAAAAGACATTATACAAAATATAGAAAAAAAACAGTTATCATTAAAGTAGAATACCTTCCCTTCTAAACTTACAATTAACTTATATATTACGATCAATTATTAGGTATCGAATTCGAAACATGTTAACATTACTACAGTTTAAAAAGTCGATTGGTTTCACTAAACCTTACATACAAACATTGTGGCCTAAAATCTTAGTAGTTGATAAATACAAAACACTAGTTAATTAGACTAAGAATAAAATAAACATTTTGGGTAATAAACAATATCTACCATATTTGTTGAATTTTTATCTTTTAAATAATTCCATTCTGTTGATCCAACAGGAAAAAAGACACAAACATCTAAATCACTTGTCTGTAGATCAAAACCATTAGCGCAAGAACCAAATAATTCAAGTTGAACAGAAGGGAAACGATATGAGAAACATTGATGAATTTTTTTAACAAGTTCCTAAGAAATGATATATGAATTGTACAGAAAAACAACATGAAAATGACATCATCAAAAGTAAAATACTGGAGATAAAATCAAAAAAATTATTAAGTACAAATTAAACAGTTTTTATTTGTCTTTAAATGTTACTCTAACTGGTGAGCAATCCTTTATTCCAATATGTCATACAACAATTTAAAAAAAATATCTACATTCATGGTAAAGTGTTCGAATGTAAACTGATAATATATTTCTCTTCTAAATGACATGTACATTCTATAGAAATCTTACTTACGACCTTTAACCGATATATATATATATATTCGATTGAAGTTTTATGAGTATTGATTTTATTTATCAATTTTCCTTTATTTTCTAGTCGTCTAACACTAACAATTTAACGTCAAATGATTCATATCCAGTCAATTATCATCTATCACTGAAGGGCCGTTTTGTTTTAAGGTGAGGAGGGTCTACTAGTGTTTTCAAGTTTCCAATGGCGGTCTAACATTCATCGGTTTATGATATCTGTCATACCCCGACGAGAATGATGAATGGTAACTGTTGGGATCGATTTCTAGACCAATACGATGCATACATTTTTATTGTATAATTGTTAAGTAACTAAACTACTCATATTCGTGTTCCTCTTCTTATAAGCTTTATTTTGACCGATGAAATATTATCATAAGATTTACCATTCTTGAGTTATGCCCAGTCAATCAATTACTATCTCTCACATTCACAGCCACTTTTGGCCAGATCTTGTTCGAATGCTATTTTCTGTTTTATGGTACGATATAGTCTGTTTGGTTTGTATATAAACTCAGTATGTTTGAAATACATAATTCATATCTCAGAGGCTGAGATTGATGTTCTGGACTTAGCAGGCAGGAAGCAGGACCGATAACGACTCTAGACTGCTCGTACGGATTTTATGCGTCATTGGTTCGGTTGATAATTCACTGTTCTCTAATTGGCGGTATCACCACATTATACATTGATAGGAGTACAAGGCCACAAATCATAACAATCTCAATAAAACTCAACAGTTTCCACGACCCCAAACTTATTTATTTTTTGGTTTTAATTGTTTCATTTACTTTTTAACAATATTACTATTTTCACAGATTGAAATCATGAGTCAGTTGAAGCTAGACCACCATTGAAAACCTGGAAGCACTGGACGGCCGTTTCGTCCTAGTGCGGGACTCCTCAGCAGTGCGCATCCACGACCCCGCACCACCCGGGGCTCGAACCCAGGACCTACTAGCTTCATTTGACTCATGATTTCAATCTGTGAAAATTTCTAAAATCTCCACAAAACACATTCTGATAATACTACTATTATTTTCTGGCAATTCTACTTCATATCATTACCCGACGTTTTAGGATGTTATGTATGGGAAATCCAACCTGTATATATGTAACATTTGCACCTATTTATTTTATTTATTTGAACACATAAATATTGTTACAAGAGGGCACCAAATATACATGCGCTACACATTATTTTCATTATATTTGTGTGTGGGCTGTGATACTGCCCGGGTGCCCAGAGCAAAGCCGTTGGTTTTCACAGGGGTCACACCACGAGCCTTTGACCTAAAGGTCTGACCCACAGGGCAGTGGAGCAACGCAAGGAGATGCAGTCCCATGGTAGCCGTTGACCAACGATTGGTTCATATGCCATTTGTTCCCGCAGGATACTGGAACCCATGTGCACCATTAGTTTAGGAGCCGGTTAAAGCGCCGGACATTCGCTTTTCGTCTTCTCATTTTTGTAAACAACACCCCGCCACGAGAAGGCAGTGAGTAGGACTCCTCTGGCAGAGGCTGTATACGCGTGGACGTGTGGAGCAATTCGAGAGGGAGGGAGGGCCCACCCTACTCTCAGCCATACCAGGGCATTTGCACCTAACCTTAGTTGGTTAATATCAAATTTAAAGTAACTAACGCTTTAAAAAAATTAGACTGATAGATAATACAACATTGAATTTAGAAAACAGAAAGAAAAACCGAGATAGATTGGGGAAAAAACAACAGCAGTGATAACATGCAAGTAAATAACATACTTGACGTGCATTAACTTTATTATAAGTTTCATGATGTTCTTCTAAACAATTTAGGCAGTAAGTTAGATTTTTAATTTGTTCAGCGATTGGTGGCCAAGGCGTTTTATTTAATAACTTATGCCATGCTAAAAATGATACTGATTTATCACTGGTAGTTTCACACTGTGATTGTCGATGACCAGTTAAATTACAAGCTTGACATTGAGGTTGAGGTGCATCGAAATGAGCTAATAATGTGGATGGTTGATTTCGTGAAGCTAAACCTAAAACAGATGATTGATTATGTCGACGATTAGACGATAAGTTCATATTTGAGACAAATTGAAAATCAAAATCTTCCGGTTGTAGATTCTCTAGAAGCTTAGAATTGTAATAATCTGGACGATCATCATCAATAGGCTAAAAAGAAAAAAGTAAAAATACGCAAAGGGTCAATAGGAATGAATAATTCACGAGAAAACTACTTATACTCATAAATAAATGAATCTAGTTTTTTCAATGATGAATTCATATCACACAGAAACTAGATAGAATGAGAGAACTTATTTCTTCCTATTCCTTTGATGCGATCTACAAAAATTAGGTCTAACAATCAGGTCTTAATTGATTGGATGATAAATTTTATTTGACTTAGCTCATTCTGCACGTAGTTAAATATGGCCAACATCTATATATGTGAGGGCTAATGATACTACCTGATTGCCCAAACAAAAGTAGGTGGGGAGGGCTCGAACTGGGGACCTAGTGGCTGAAAATTGAATACCCTTAACCGCCCCACAGGGTGAGTGTGACCTTGAAACTAATTCTCCCCAATTCCCTACAACATTTCATCACATTTATTCTGTGCCAATATTCTGTATGTAAGCATCTGATTTTATTACGGGAAAAATCTATTAGTCTAACTAGTGGTATAGTCCACCATTCCTAATAATTCGGTGGTATACTTTAAAAATCAGTTCTCATGACCAGCTATTACTTGGTCACATCGAATAATTGCATTCGTCCATCGATTAGCACTCTATTAATTGATTATGACAGTATAAACTTCGCTCTTTAACTTATATAATCATGCTCTAGAGCACTCTTTGAAAGTAGATAAAGAGTAGTGTTGAAAACTAATTATCATAAGTAAAAGGAAGCTGAGAGAACGGTGAAGAGGAAGTAAAACCGTGAACATAAAAAAATCTTTTTATCTAGAATAACATTGTGTCGTTTACTTTTATTTCGCAACCAGTAGTTGGTTTATGAAACTGAAAAGAAACCATCAGGTTCTGTAACAAGCTAATGAAAACTGAAAACTGTAAAACATGTACATGTGAATCAGATCATTTAAAAAGATGAAATTGACTATTGCGTAGCTTCAAAGAGAATAATAATAATAATAATAATAATAATAATAATAATAATAATAATAATAATAGCTATTTAATGCATCCTAAAACTTATTTTCACAACCTCTTTAGCAGCTCTCTAGATACCTGAAATACTTATCCAAATACAAGATATTAAAAAGACACCTAGAGTCCTTCTACGGTTATCATTGGTCCAAAACCCGGGTAAATGTGGGTTAGGCGAAAGCCTAACCGTAAAAATAGACCTCGCTAAAAACCGTCAACCAGAGATAAATGAAAATGTAAAAACTCCTAAAATAAATTGGGAATGTTATACATAAACTAATTTGTTTTAGTCAAGATTAATAACTGAACCAATACATATCTATAAACAAATAAACTTACAGGAGCGACTGCAGAACGTGACGAAATCACATCTTCCCATTCAAGCTTTTTAGCTGATTTTTTTTTCTTAGATTTGGTAGGACTGAATTTCGATGCAGTTGTATTACTATTTGAATTCAACATACTGTTAGAATGACCTTGTTGTTTTTTCTCAGATTTGCGTGCATTTTTAGTTAATTTATTGTCACGTCTAGTTAGTTCATTTGAAGCAGTAACTAATTCATTTGATGGACAACTTATGGATGACAAATGGTTGACTGGATGTGAATCATTTGACGTTAAATTGTTAGTGTTAGACGACTAGAAAATAAAGGAAAATTGATAAACAAAGTCAATACTCATAAAACTTCAATCAAATATATATATCGGTTAAAGGTCGTAAGTAAGATTTCTATAGAATGTACATGTCATTTAGAAGAGAAATATATTATCAGCTTACATTCGAACACTTTACCATGAATGTAATTTCAACAATAGTTCATGAAATTATTTTAATACATAATCTCAAGACAAGTAATTGGATTTTTTAAAAAGGTTAGAAGAGGATGGGTAACATGAAACACTGTACAGAAAGTGTACATTTCAAATTAAAAACTTTTCAACAGAATAATTCTGAAAATTACAAAACAAACAGAGATGCATGATAGTGATATGTTTGAGATTTAATAGATTTAAAAAGCAGTATCCATTAGTGTTATGTGATTCAGTTTTCAAATGTTTTGTAAACAAATAAATTACCTACACTTTAACAAACTAATTTAAAAAACTGAACTGTCACACGAGTAACATCGAAATCCAATTGTTCAACGAATGAATGCAATGCCTGTTTAAGAATTTTTATCTAACCACGTCAGGAAACATAACTCTACATACAGTACGAACGATTAAAAAAGTTTACTTTCAGTATTTATGATCACCAATCTTTGTTAAGAAAATAAGCTTGTTTGTACCAGAAGATAATAATTTAAAAAAGAAAAGATTGGAGCAATCTGAACACAAAATAGATACTTTATTGTCAGCGGTGATAAAAGGACTTTCAAGCTGGTTGTTGTAGGTTTAAATCTTTCTTCAACTACTCCAGTTTGAGCAACTAAGTGACTTCACTAACCTTCACAGAAAAAATACGTCCATGATTCGAATACACTAATCTGTACTGTGTAAATGAGCCAAGTGAAATTAAATTAAAAATCTATAATTAATTAGAAAGAAGGTAACCAACTTAAACCATCTCAATGTGACTTAATAGCCACAACTGTGCAGACATTTGAAATCATCTTGATCAAAAAACAATTAACTATGACATCAAACACGAAAATTTACAACCACACTGAAAGGTTTGACATATTTACCTAGTACCTTGTACCTAGACTCATTATTGTTCACTCAGCTGTTACATGATACCTGGGCGATGGGCAGAAGACATTAATGATAAAAAGCTAGTACTCTATACTTCTGCTGACATACGCCCTGTTCCGCACCCTTAAGAAAACGAGAGTGATAACATTCAGCACACCAGACATCTGGCCTATTCCACAAGTGAGAGAGAGGCTTTTAAATCTTTGCAACGGTTCCATAAGACACCAACTCACTAAGACTGATGAAACTACTGAGTTAAATAGCAAACACGCTCAAATACATTACAATTTATGATGATTCTAGGTAATAATGCTAACCAATCCTGAAGTAGCATTTTCACTTAGATGAGTAGAAACACATCGTAAACATGCTTGAATTATCAAAATGCTCAGGAGAACGGATCACGTAACTAGCTTCATCATATACATACACCATGTCAATTAGTGAGTTTCCGCGACAAAAAAAACAATCCACGAAAAGTTAGACGAAAAATCATGATCTATAAGAGGAAGCTTATGAAAGTCAGTCAGTCAGTAACAACGTAGAACTTCGTACGTACGTACATCAGTTCGAGTTGCCATACCACATTAGCACAGAGATGCGGTGGTCGATTCAAATCCCGTAGTGGTAGATGTAGCAAGAGTATAAGCAGTAATCGGGAAGATTAGGGTTTGGAGATGTTATTTAACGCGTATAATCCAGTGAAATAAATTTGGAAAGAGGAAAGGGGATGGTGACCAACGCTGACGAACATCATTTGACCGTTCCCCGTGAGCTGTGAATAGATCAGTAATTTTCAAAGAGACCCTTCTGTTATGCCCTGATGAGAATTATGAATGGTAACTGTTGGGATCGATTTCTAGACCAATACGATGCATACATTTTTATTGTATAATTGTTAAGTAACTAAACTACTCATATTCGTGTTCCTCTTCTTATAAGCTTTATTTTGACCGATGAAATATTATCATAAGATTTACCATTCTTGAGTTATGCCCAGTCAATCAATTACTATCTCTCACATTCACAGCCACTTTTGGCCAGATCTTGTTCGAATGCTATTTTCTGTTTTATGGTACGATATAGTCTGTTTGGTTTGTATATAAACTCAGTATGTTTGAAATACATAATTCATATCTCAGAGGCTGAGATTGATGTTCTGGACTTAGCAGGCAGGAAGCAGGACCGATAACGACTCTAGACTGCTCGTACGGATTTTATGCGTCATTGGTTCGGTTGATAATTCACTGTTCTCTAATTGGCGGTATCACTACACTATACATTGATAGGGGCACAAAGCCCACAGGTTATAATACCTTCACAAAGTTTACATACTTCGTTGATACATTGTTTAGAGAGAAACAATGATACAAATTAAGTCAGTCAACAGAGTCGAATAATGCCTTAACATCAAGAAATAAAGCCGCGTTTGAATGTCGGTAATATATCTATACGTTCTAAGACGTAAAGAATATTTAATCGACATGTCGAAGTTCAGGTCTGACACAAGTTTGGTTTATCCGAGTATGATGTTCTCGAGAACCAGATAAGCGTTGCACAATAAAGAACTGAATAAGTAGTCCACCAGATGATAGAAGTGGGTATTAAGTAATACATACGCTTAAATGTTGCGTTAAATCTTCAGTCGAATCAACTAATGAACCATATTTACCAGTATTATTATTTCTGTTGTAAGAATATGACAGTTATGAATTATTAGGTTGATGCACAACGCTCTGAAGTTTGTAGATAAATACTAACCTCGAGTCTCACTGGAGTCAACAACACGGATTTAGATACAAACAACCTAAAAATCTCAAATAAAATGAAATACGCATTCTGAACATCAATATTACATACTACGAAAATGTATTTGATAAAATATACACAATCTCAGTAAAACCATGAAACATTTTTGTACATAAACAAGGCTTACTTTGATTCTGTTTTGATTATTTCCTTGAGAAGTCAAAGTTTCTAAAAGTTCAGAATTTTTGTCAACAAAAGATGAAGATGTACTGATTGGATCGATTATATCATCATTATAATCTACATCAAGAGTACACTCTAAACGTTCATATATTTCACTGTCATTAAAATCATTTTCTAAATTACAATCCAAAAAGGCATCATCTGAAACAGTCATACATATATCATATGGATTATCGACTTCTTGTAAATGACTGACTTCTTCAAAATTCGAATATTCATCAACGTCAAGAAAATTATTTTTACTTTGTCTAACTATAGGCTCTGAATAATCATCTTCAATACTTTTACTTAATGAACTAGAATCCTGATTCATTTGATGATTACATTGATCTTCAAATACATTTTCATCTGAACAATTCATTTTCTGTAGATTTTCGGATAGAAAAATATAAGGCAATTTGAAATGAAATTAAGTGACAACCAATTATTTGTGTATCATAAATGAATAAGATAAGCGGTTTAAAATTTCAATACAATGAGTTTAAAATAGAGTTGTAGGAGGTCATCCTCAATGTATCTTCAGGACTTATAATCATAAAATTGCATTTGTATCTTATGCTCAAATGTCTACTTAAAATAATTAAACTAGTGTCATACTTACGATACCCTAGTTTATCAACAACAGGCTATAACTACTTCGTAGACGTAAACCTACTCCTGTCCTAACCAGTGTAGCATGTCGGGTGACCGGAAATTATAGTCATCAGTTGTTTTCTTTTAATAAAACAAAATATAAACAATATAAAAACAAAAGGTTACTTGTGATTGACCACAAGGTGAGTCAATTGAAGTATCATTATCAATAACATTTTGTAGTTTTAAACGATCTAACCATAATTTAACACTCTAAAATAAAGAAAAAAAATCAAAAATGAAAGAGATAGTTAGACAGACAATGAACGTTCAGATAATGATACTGAAAAGGTTGAAAATAAATTTCCACAGTAACAAAAGCAACTAATATAATGCTAATCAGTAACCACGTACAAGTTAGTGAACTCAAATTCGGGATAGTGATATGGCATTCGAGTGATCAAACATAACTAGGTAGAATGGGATGAAAACCCGGGACACATTTGATAAGAATTAAATGTTTTAAATAAGTCATCATTAGATGTACTAGGTAAAAAGACATTCTCCTTCTCTGTATGTTACAAGTGACATATCTATTTGTACGATTATCACATGTAAGTAAATTGATAACAGTATATATCGATATTCAAAATAAATGGTGATCACAGAATTTGGCATACTTTCTTTTAAAATATACATTGCGATGAAACCTATCACCATGACCTGATACCACTTAGTAGTAGCAAATGCAGACAATCATTCTGTGAGGCTATATGTCCGATGATGTCGTAAAATTAACTAATATGTCCGAAGAGTTGAGGAAACTTGGTTTTAAAAACGATATATACACAGTGAAGTTAGATTTTAGTTTTTTTTCAAGTAAATAGACTTCTTAAAATAAAATATTTTCGAAAACACAGTACCTGACTGAACTAGAACTTTTAAATCACCCACTCTTAGTGAATCAGAATAGTATCAATATAACTGTTTGAAATGAAGTGCACTTGTAATAAAAGATAGTCTTAGTTGGTGACTAACAAATAACTTGAAAAAAATTGGTTATTTATTTATTTATTTCAACACAGATATTGGTACTAAGAGGCACCAAATACATATGCGCCACACAAATCTCATTCCATATGTGTGAGGGTTGTGATACTGCCCGGGTGCCCAAACCGAACCAGGTGGTTTTCTTAGGGGGCCACACCCCGAGCCTTTGACCTGAGGGTCTGATCCACAAGGCAGTGGAGCATCGTAAAGAGATGCAATCCCATGGAAGCCGGTGACCAACAATTGGTTCATATGCCATTTGTTCCCTTAGGATACTGGAGCCCATGTGCACCATTGATTTGGAATCCGGTTAAAGCGCCGGACATTCGCTTTTCGTCCTCTCATTTTCGTAAGCAACACCCCGCCACGAGAAGGCGGTGAGTAGGACTTCCCTGGCAGAGGCTATATACGCGTGGCCATGTGAGAGCATTTCGAGAGGGAGAGCGGACTCTCAGCCGTATCAGGGCATTTGGGGGCAAGGCTCGGTGCGGTAGAGATGACTGCAAATCAGTTTCGCAATTCAGTAATACAAACCAAATCATAAAATTATAAATATTTATATATAAATCGATGTACACCAATAAAAGTTAGCAACAGACATAACGACAACGTTGCAATTCACATTAATAAAAATACATACTTTACTAAATAACGACAAAGTGGTTTTTGTGATGATTCTTTTTGATGCTGAAAACTTTCCTTTACTAATATATGTGTTGAAAAAAGATAGCCAGTAGTCATAAGCGAAATTTCGAGTAATCTGGATAAAATCATTCAAACTAAGCTTAAATGAAGACGATACAGGAATGAAAAATCTCTTTTCTGACATTTTTAAACATCCACTGACAAGATCTTTAAAAATAATAAGAAAAACATGAGACCAAACTGAGGTATGCATCAAAATTAGAATGATCAAAATGACTAAAAATAAGTAACAAGCTTTATTATCTTAACATTATCAAGATATGAAGCTAAAGTTGTCATTTTCGCCACTGAAGTGAAACCACGTTCAAGGTTTAAACTTATTTTCATTCAGAGCAGTTAGGATAACCTATCTATATGACTAGATTTTAAGGTATTAACTTAGTGGTAAAACTGTTTGACTTCCAGTCACTCCATTCCAGCCCTGGACATACTCCCGTTCATTTTAGATCGTGCAACCGGATGGTACTACTACATTTTACACAACATAAGTGTGGCTTAAGATGGAGTATATATATATATATATATATATATATATATATATATATATATATATATATATATATATATATATATATATATATATATATATATATATTCATTGAAATAATGAACCGATTAGTGTCAGACCATCATCGAAAAGTACTGGATGGTTTTTTCTCCTTAATATGGGACTCTTCAGCAGTTTCCATGCACGGAAATCGGACCAGGAGCCTTCGATCTCATGCACGAACGCCTGATTTCCAGACTACATTGCCGGTATCCAACAATGTTAATCCACAATATTGCTTGATCATCTTCATCATTGGCTTTTTTACATCCTGAAAAAGTGGTTAAAAGTCAGGTGTATGAATAGATGCTCGGTTAATGAGTTACAGTTAATTCTTGAGTCGATAATACGTGAATCGGCAGATCGATCTATAGGATTTATCAACAACTAAAATCAGATAGAAATGAATCCATTTAGTATTGTTTGCTTGAATATTTGCATACCAATGTATTGAAAAACGTCAGTGTTCTTAGGTTAGACTTTGTATGTCCCAAAAGTGAGCGCTAAGCTTTCATACCAAAAGTAGAAATCATATTATTTTAAAGTTATTTTCATATGATTCCGCTAACGAATAATAACTCATCTCAATTTTCTGCTAATTAAAATTTACATAGAATGCAGTATGGTGTAAAACAGTCATGTGAACTGTATATTATGTAATATGCTCGAGTGTCATTAGAAAGCTCTATTAAACTTAAATGTCCCATGGCGTTTCTTTCTAAATTGTATCGATGTATCTTTCGATAAAAACAGGAGACCGATAATGGACAAATGACAAACCCAAGCTCGTATTTTTACATAAACAAATAATTAACGAAGTTAGTCTACGTTTTTCAATGAATATACAGAGCAACTAGTTAAGCATAAATATGAAGCAGCAATACAAAAAACAGCAAAAACAAACCAGGTACAATGTTTGACTCAAATAATTCATCCATGACATATGTAAGAATATATGAAAACATTTCTGAAAATGAAAGAGCTTTCTGTTCAGCCATGGAATTATCCAATGCTGTGTGGTCAATAGTTGATGAACTCTCTAATATGTCTTCCCCAGTTGATGGTAGGACAGAATGTTTGATAGTGGCGCCGTTTGAAAGTAATTGAAATTTCTCTGTAATTAAATTTGTTACCTAAAAATGTTAAGCACAAAATATCTCTGACTATAGCAAAAAAGAAAGTTTTATAAGTGTTCTAGGCATCAGAAAGCTGTTCCATCTGAATAAAAACAGAAAAATAATAATGAAGCTGACACTATATAAGTTTGATAATTGTACCTATTCTGTTCACTTTCGCTGGAGAATGGATATCGATTTTATAATAACCGGAACACATACATTATTTTGAACTAACGAACTTTAAAACAGAATACAACTCAACTCATATACCAAGTACAAATTAGTATACTTGGTTAATGATACTACCCTGCTTGCAAAAAACGAAGTAGGTGGAGCTGAGTTGGAACATGCAACTTAATGGTCAAAAGTTAACCCAGAAATTCAGAGTCTAAAAATAGTACAGATAAATGAAAAAATCAAAATGTATATCCAAATTGAGACAAGTAACTCATTGTTTAGTGTTCAGTGTGAGTGTAATTAAGCTAGAAGAATAGATTTTGATAAATACTAATCTATGTATCCAGATGACAAGTTCCAAAAGTAAAATGATTTAAATCACGAAAGAACGACATCATAGGTATTCTCTCTATTAACTGAATTGTAAGCCAATACATTCAATTATACTATTGCAAATAAAAAGATAGACAATTAAATAAACAATTATGATCAATAATAATCATAGAAACCCATTTTCGCTAAATTTAGGAAGCAAAAGTAAGTCGCTGAAATATTTATTACGAAACAACAAACATTAAACGATCAGAGTTTCTGCGATAAACATAACTGTTACATAAAATGACGAAAAAGAAACTAGGATATGTTCTGACCTACTTTATTCAAATTTGATTCAAAATTGTCAGAATCATCAATGATAGGTGTTAAATGAATACCTGCAGATGCTGTCATTTTATCATTAGACATGGTTGTTTGACTAATACTACTACTAGTATTCTGATCCAACTTGTCACAAGCATCTTTTGGCTCATCAGGGGATTTTTCAACAACAGAAATGTGTGTGAACAAATGTCGACCATTAGTGGCCAATCGTGGCACACCGAAATAGCCATAGGCCGCTAATAACTGTGAATTGATATAATCTCGACTGACTTGAGTTAAATTCCTACAGAGATTATGTTTAGGGTTAAAAGGATCTAGAAAAAAAAGCCGTAAAAATGTTAGAGGCATTGGACAAATGAATTAAAACAATCAAAAAATGAGTAAGTTGTATGTACGAATAAATTTTAAATATAACCAAATACAGAATACTTAAGAAAAGAAGCACAAACATTAAATTACTCTGATGAATTGCCATGATAAATTTAACAGAACTATCACTCAAGACTATACTTCAGAAGATGAACAACAAAGAAAAGGTACAAAAGTTAACCTATGAATCTCTCCAAAGCACCGTTAAACGTAGTGAAATCAGCGAGTGTATGATATTGTAACTAGATGTATACCAAAAGATATGACTATAAACGCGTACGAATTCGCAATTTCGGGTTGTGCTTTACCCACTTCCTATAGAAACAACCATTGATAAATATATGACGGCGATAAAACATGGTTGTACAACTTAGTAATTCAATTGCAGTTAAAGATGTACACAACTGAATGCTGGTTCAGTAGACTAAATACTATGCCCTCATCGTGAGGGTTGACAGTCCTGAACCTTATCTTCGATGGAACAGTGTAATCACACTGCTGCGGAGTCTTATACTAAAACGGAACAGCTCTCCGGTACTTTCTAATCATCAATACTTTCTTAACGAATGTCGTCTCAGTGGACTCCATGTCTTGCATTATTTATCGACTCTGGGAACGGTTGGAAGAAGTGGAGAAGTGGTATGAAGGAAAGCTGTACAGGACTGGCTTCTGTTGGTCTTTCACGACTCCCTGGTTGGGGTCCAAGAGATGGTGCAACAAAGTGGCTTGAGACGTTGTCAAACATGATTCAGAATAGAAGCCAGTGGTGATCCTACTGTAACTTTCTTTTGCGTTCTTCATAAAAGTGAACGTAACTTCTTTAACTGGAAGAATTATTCCTGGTCGTATTATTCTTAACTGAACTGTTTCTTTCATTATTATTATTACTATTATTATCATCTCACTCTCATGCAATAATTTCTGTTCTTCGTAACCTCGTTGTTATTGTGTGGCGTATATGTATTTGGTGTCCCCTTGTACCACTATCTATGTGTTCATCTTAATGAATAAATAAATAAATGTGACATAAGTTCAATTTGTCATACCACATTCACACAGCGAGATAAAACTATCAAAACAAATCCCAGAGTAGTAGTGGTAATAGTATTGGTAGAACTAAGAGAGACTAGCTATAGAAAACGAAAAAAGTGGTATAAGATTTTGAAACTCAGGTTCTAATGAAAGACAAAGAAATGAATACTCCTGTGCTGTTGCGAAGGGTTCTGAGCAATGTAAATTCTCTAGCTACTGATTAAAATAAACACACGGAACCCAACCAGGTAGTCTACACCTATTAACACGGCTCAGGTCCAACTGCCAGTGACTTCATAAACTGATTCCACGTCTTGGTTTGGCTGCTCCTACCTTTCCATCATTCAACTAAATCACCAAACCGTGTGTCGAGGTTGGCGGTGGTTGTGCATACGTAACGCGCCCTTATTAACTCAGTCGACAAAGATTCACCACATTATCAATCAGTTTACCATCTTTACCAGTACCATGAGTCTGGCCTCAACGTTTCTCACTCGATGGTCCCAAAATACACGAGAAATGATATACAGGCATCTTAAATCAAACATTAGTAACCCACAAATATTCTCCATTCTTAATGGGTACATTTCATAGCCATAAAGCAGAACGAAACGAACTTCTCTGTTGTATATTACTGTGTAATTTTCAATGCGAACAGATAAAACCTTTAGTAAAGACTTCAACAGATCGCATGAGCAAGAAAAAGTCACAATTAGTATGTAGATACAGGCTATTAATATCTAATTGATGACAATAATTGTTATTAAAAGTATCTTTTTTTAATAAACATAACTTTTCACTTATCGAAAATAATTTAGGATTGATGAAAATAAATTCGATTAAATATATATTTTAACTTACCGGTAACTGTAAAACAACGCTTTTCAGAAGCATTAAAACATGATACTGGTTCAGGTTCCACAATATTAATTGTACAAGAAGAAGTTTTAAAATCAAATAAATAAAATCTGAGGAAACCAAGCCATAAATCGGCTAAACATGGTAAATTGTTAGACGAAGATGAATCTGTGGAACGGAAAATGAAATATTTTGAATTTAACCAATATCGAAAAGAATGATTGTATTGTTATCAGGATTTACATTGATTATAACAAGAATTATTATACACTTCATTACCATAGATAATGTTACTATTTGAAATATGTGAGTAGAATGTGAAGTCGTCTTCAGGAATTACAAATCTACTACTGTTTAGACCTCACAAACTGAAATATTTTATAATATCATTTCAACAATTAAACATTCATACTGATGAAATCCAATTGTTTTTATAAATGAAGAAAATATTAACATATGCTGAATATGTTCGATATAGGTTGAAGTGAATCGTAAGTGTGAATCACTCAATTTTAACTTGAAAACTATCAACCTATCAGCTGTGAGCTTATCGACTTAACCTAGTTCAATGAATTAAATGTAATTGGATACCATATAGCACATTTCCTCTCTAATTTTGTCCGCAAAAGCAAGTAAAAAAAGATTCAATTCATCAGAAAAATTATACATAAAGAGGTATTTATTGTAGACAGAAATAAAAGAGAACACGATACACAAACACATACTGAAATGAAACAAGTTGTTATCTAATGATTTCATCATACAAATAATGATGCTTTTAAAAATTAAATAACGGAAATTTACATGGTTGATCAGGACATAACTTTCGAATCAATTCAATGTCTGTAATAAACGAACAATCAGTATTGGGTGGCAAAACCTGAACAAAAAAACAAATATTAAAATAGAACATAAGCAAGCAGTATACCAAACCGAAATCAAATAAAACCACTTGATCAGGGTTTATTTTCAGGAATCATAGATCAGAAAAAAACAAAAACACGAACAATTAAAAACAAAACTATGCATAAATAAATCACTAGGAATCTCTTAACAAAACTTCTTTGAAATAATGCCCCTTGACATTACAACGAGCACTCTTAAGTAATATGTTATTGAATGGATGTATTTATTTCAGGGTATTAAGTCATAGTATAAATATGCGACTGACTGAAAACACTTATATTTCGTTTTTTTAGGATGATTGTGTTGTAGCGGGATATCTTCGAGATGGCTTCTAATATCTCGTATCTCACTCGTCCTGATAACCGTTATTACACAACTCCTATCAGTGTATAAATTTCAGAAGACAGTAACAAAGTGTCGACTACAGTTTAGTATTGTGCAGTGCAAATCACAAAGCCACAAGGACACAAAGTGAATAGGAACAGAACTGAGAGTCTGAATGAATACGAACGAACCAATGCGAGAGAGAACCAGCGAGTGAATTGAGGCAAATGAATTGATGAGATGTGCAAGGCACACATATATCAGAAAGTGAATCAACAATTGAATGATTTGAGCGTCTAACATTTAAGCTAGTGAAAGGAATGTAAATGTAGTCTGTAACACATGATCAAACATATATGATCATGCAAACATGATAATCATAATAATAAGATATAGATGAGTTGTTACTGACCGAATGACACTGTCTGTTAAATAAATTGATCGAACAGCTGAGCAAAATTAAAATCACTATTGTCAACACTTTGTTACTGTCTTCTGAAATTTATACACTGATAGGAGTTGTGTAATAACGGTTATCAAGACGAGTGAGATACGAAAATGCTACATCACACCACATTAGGAATTTTTGAATATAAAACTTAAGGGGAATCTCACGAAATTTTGCGGCTATTACTGATTTCTTGTCAAGAACACTTAATTAATTTTCAATTTCACAAGTCTATAAACAAGATGGGATCGTTCACATACCATATCTACACTACTTAACAATGTGGAAACTATCATTCTTGACTAACACTCAATCACATTACAATTAAATAAGTGACTGTTATTTAATAAAGTATAAAATTTTAGAATATAATTGATACAAATGATTAGTGGATTACAAAAAACTCACAAATCAACAAATAATCTTATCTAATAAAGATAGTTCAATAACACTGTACGACTATTTTGCTTACCTGATGATAAGAATTTTCAGGAATTTCATGAAGATGTTGGCGGTAAAGCATATGAAGATTTGGAAGTGATGGAGGTTCACAATGTTGTAAGTAGAATATAACTAACAGAGGTATGACTGTTTCTTCAAATGTACCATTTTCCGGCATATCTAAATGACCCAACTGGGGAAAAAATAGAAAGCAACAAAGTAAGTTAATAAAGTAATGGAAATCGGAATGGAACATTTGTGTTCTGTTTTACAAAAAAAATAAAACCAAACCAGTGATATGCAATATATTGAATGATAATATTTTGAAAATGGTTATCACTTTTTAATCAGCTTCAATACAACAAACAAAACTAATGAAAACAGTACTCAAATGAATCCAAGACTATGAACAGCAGTGAACTAAAACAACAAAAACAGGTCTCTTAGATGATAATGATACTAGATATTCCTTAAGTAGATTTACAATAACAATGAAATCGTTTTATCAGCTCATCTATGTAGAACAGTAGCTGAGTAGTTAAATTTACAAAAAGGAGACCTCGAAATGAAGCTGGTTGACGTAACATAAAGCTGAAAAGAAACAAAACGAAAAACAGAACTATTCTATGGAGCTCCTGACTTTTCCTTTAAGCTTTTTATAAACATGCAGACCAGTTAGATACCTAAAGATGATATAAATCAGATATCTGTTTAAAAATCAATGTTCACAAAGTCAGTCATTTATGTGAAACGTAGAACCTGGCACATGTGAACATCAGCGTAATTCGCCACATCTCATTCGTATGAAGGATAAATTAAGGTTGGAATCCGTTCAGAGACGAGTTACACTAAGCATTCTTGAAAATGATCGTACTTTAAATCATAATCCCCATATAATTAATACAGACTCGACGCTTTATAGAAAAGCAAACAATTTAATCTTTTTCTTTAAAACACATGATAAACTATATTTTACATCTAATGAATTAAACCAATATAAAGAAACTCTTAGTAACAACATCCACAACTATTTGTCATTCGTGAAACAATCTCATTCTAAATCTTCTCTCTATATGAATAACTTTACCAGTAAATTTTCCAAACTCTAGAATAATTTACCACAATTTGTTCATGAGATAAAATCACTCCAAGCTTTTGTGAACTTAATCCACGCTTACTTTTATGCTGAAAATGTTTTTAATGTGCTTACACCTCTAAGTATATCTTGTTCCACAAATCCTATTTATAGGAACTCTAAATGTATAATCGTTTTTATCACTAAGCCCACTAATTAAACATTCCTGGCTGCAGATAATTTACACTAACATTGTCCTTGGTAAATTTAACTAGTCTGAATAATATCTAACCCGAACATTAGATCACAAAAATATTGTGATAGATCTGAATAAATGATTGACCTATCGGGGTAATTATTGCTTTCGTTTTTCCGTGCACCTTGTTTCTGTTTTAGTTTCCCCAGCTGTAGATGATTATAATTAATTCGTTATGGTACTAGAAATGATCTTAAATACATCGTTCATACACTAATAGTTCTTGGAGGATGCCTTTCATTAATGTAACACATGTGAAAAATCCACTGCCTAAACAACTTTTTAACTACAACACTTCAAACAATCGAATATTCTATATGTCCTGTGCATTTACTACTGCTATCTATATTTAGCTGATCATGCCTATAAACTGGTGTGAATTCTGTAATTATTATTTTCCGAATGTATATATATATATATATATATATATATATATATATATATATATATATATATATATATATATATATTATATTGTATTATTAGCACAGTGAAATGAAATTGTCAGGGTAAATCCCAAAGTGATAGATGTAGAGACAGTACTGGTGGTAATAAACAATATTAGGCACAGAAGATACAAGTCAGGAAGGAAATACAGATTAGTGGAGTAAAAAAATTTTTTAATCTACACGGAAAATTAGAAACTTACGATTTGAAGGAATGATTTGATAATTTCGAATAAATTGAGCATTGGATTGATTGTTATAAATAAAAATAATATATTTGTAATATCCCAATGAGTAGAAAATTGGATTATTGGTTATTTATTCTAAGAAGAAGTGACTTACACTAAGTCACGAAACGTCAAAAAATCCAATTTTCTACTCATTGGGATATTACAAATATATTATTTTTATTTATGATTTGAAGGAAGACAAACAGTGAATGCACCTAAGACACTGTGAAGGATTCTGAGCTGTGTCACCCAAATTTTCCAGCTGTTCGTTAGGATAATGACGCGTACCCTAACCATGGACTTCGCGTCTACACACATGACTCAGCACAACAGTTAGTGTCTTCATAGACTGGTCATATGACATGATTTGGCCCCCTGTAGCTTTCTTCAAATCTACTCCTATACCAGCCATTACCAGATATTCAGTAATATGTCCTGACCATCTCAGTCGATAAGGAATCACTACAACATCAATTAACTAGCCATCTTTATCTAGTACCGCATGTCCAACAAAAATATCGCTAACTCAATGTTGGTCAGTCAGTCAGTCAACTTGGTCTCGTGTGCTTTTACGGGTGTGAGAACTGATGTCACTTCCCGGCTGCCCACACCGTGGAAGGGTATTTGTTGAGGAACCTGAAAAGGAAGTTGGATCAGTGTTGGTCTTAACGGCCTGGGAGCGTGACCGCAGAGCCCAAGGGACAACTGCTTGAGGCCGGTCGCGCACGGCCTTTTTGTAGAAGGTTTTTGACGTGTTAGCTCCGTTCTTCAGATGGCCTTACCACCGGAGACGGAAATCCGTGAGGCAAGGTGAGGTGTGACATTTTTAGGATCAAGCTTTCCTAACCCCTTCCTTCCTTCTGAGAAGGCAGCATCGCTGCAGATGCTGGTTGTCTGAGGGAAACACCTTACTGCTGTCACACCCATCTATAGTCAGCAGTACGACTTCTCCCTCAGACCTTGAGTTGCTTCTTTTAGTCTTGTCGTTCTCCAATCGACCAGCCTGGCATGGTAGAACCTACAGGAACATATGTTCCAGCCAATATAGCTCGGTTGGGTCATCATGATAGGCAAGCCCGACCACCGCGTCAAGGTAGCAGATACGGTCGGACGATGGTGGTCATAAATGAATTCACTATTTAAAACTGTCTAGAATATAAACTCATGCAGTCATTCTATTTACAACTTATGATAACACAATTACCAATAACCACAAGAGCGCAGGCAAATAAGAATAACAATTTTCTCAAAAATTAAGATAACGAATTAAAGCTAAAAATATATCGATCACGAAGTAAGTAGATGCATTGGTTATGTTATGAACAAAACATTTAAATCGTTACCCTACTCTGTATGAAAGTTTAAAAAACAACGAAAAACTTAATTAATTGGTAAGTAAAACTCTCATTCTAGGACGAAACGGCTGTTCAGTGTTTAAAGGTCTTCGATGGTGTTCTAACAATAATCCGTTCATGATTTCAACGAAACTCAACAATCTTCACAACCCAATACTAACAAAATAAAATTATGGTGTGTTTTGACTTTGGCATTCACGTAATAAATGAGACTCGGTTGAGTATATGAATTTGTACGAGGTTTTTAAGTGCCTGGGGTGAAAATGTGCATAAACTATTTCATTATCAAAGCACACTACATTAATAGGTATCTAACAATTATACAAACATAAATCTGATAATATATGAACTTAATTTAACAGGTAACCGATATACCTTTTATAAAATACAGATTCATTCATCATAGTTAACGAAATGAACCAAATTTGATGCTGTTTTAAAAAGACTATCGAAGTTTGCTAGTCATTTAAAGCTTTAAGTCTTTTGATGCACAAATCAAGACACTACACTTTTGGATGACTTACATTTTCATAGGATCCATTTTCAGTAAAGAGATATTTCATCAGTAAAGACTATAATATAAGTTCAAAGAGGCTTAAGATAAGCGTCGCAGATGAATGCCAATACATGAGGAATCTTAACTTTCTTGCTTCGAAATAACTGCTTCTAACAAAATTCTCAAACCTTACAAATTATCAACCTCATAAGAAACTATTACAATTCAGTAATGACACAAAGAACAAAAAATATTATCCAACCGAAAATAAGTTTATAAACATACTCGTGATAATTTACGAAATAATATTGCTAATTGTCGAGCTTGATTATTTAAATTGAGGTAAGTATTAATCAATTTGGCCAAATCATATCCATACGGATTACCAGTACTAATACGATAACGTACACCACAGAAATCGGTCAGAGAAAGATAAAAGTAGTCACCACTTGTACGCAAAACACTAATGTAAACAAAAAATAAGACAAATAATAGTCAATATTATGATGACTGATTACTAATGTACTAGAGAAACGAAAAATTTGCCATTTAAGCAGAATTCAGTTATTTCATGCAATAACTAGTCATCTATACTACAGGCTAATAATAATGGATTATATGGAGTGCAGGTTGGAGATTACTAGTCGGTCGCCTTTGCTCCACGAGAGGTAACAGGCTTAAGCAAAATGTCATAACATCGAGCGAGTGTTAATGAGTATCAACTACTATCGGCTTAAGCGTAGCAACTGAGTTACACTGTTTATGATCAGATTACTATTATTGTACGTATTTCTATTCTCACTGTGACCATTACTACTGTGATGCACACAACATATGCTGATAAATTTAAGTAGTATGTAGCAGCCATCGGAAGTGGAATGCTTGCTAGAGGAATATTGAATTAAAAAGAAGAGGGAGCGAAACAGAGAGCTATCGTAATAACAAAATTGAAGGAATCATGAAGTACGCTACCTACAACCTAAGGAAAATGCGTACATAATGTATTTGATGTATCATTTTCATATTTTACAAAGGCACTGAGTAATTTCGTATACAACAACAATAAGTTGGTTTTCACCACATGAGTTCTCGTTCATTGCACTGCTTTATATCAGCCAGAACAAAAAATAACGATTCGTTTAATCGTTTTACGATGTAGTCTTAAAGTACTTAAGCCATTAACAGATAGGCCAAGAGATAATAGTTCTATTCAATGAATAGAATAACCTCTTACAGTTCAAGAGCTCAAGGCTTAAATTGGAATTATTTACATGCTAGATAGTAATTACACAAGAATTTGGTGATAACCGTTTTATCAGTAAATTGATGTCCATTTAACCATCGAAATTACGATGCCATGTGTTCATGAAAGATCAATGATTAAATGTTATTATAAAATGAAGAAAAACATGATAAGCGGTAATGGTTAAATTGTGATAATATTTTGTCCTCTCTAATTAAAAATCTCATGAATAAAACCTCAAACGAAATAAATTACTCGTAAGTGTGATTCCTACACAGTGAACATTATAAAAATGTTTCTATGGCCTCCAATAGAATAAACTGATGAAGAATTTCAAATCCACTTTGTTTTGCAGAAGCTACGGATATTATTCATTGCTCACTTGATACATATCCACAGAAGGCGAGCTCGACTAATCTTCATATCCCAGAGACCCCAGTTTTCTTCAATCATCTACCGATCACATAATCTTAGTTTCTTATCGACCCACCGGCTTTAACTCACTAAGTTAGTTTCATCGTAATTATGTAGTTATCAAGAAAAGCCTATATATATATATATATATATATATATATATATATATATATATATATATATATATATATATATATATATATATATATATATATATATATATATATAGCTTCACTTTGAAATGCATATTTCAGTATTCGCATCCTCCCTTGTGAAATCTTTTGCAAACACCATCAAAGTTTGAGGGTAAATATTAATTCGCGATTGTTATTGCTAATAGCAACACCTATAAAATAGCGTATTGTCTTAAGGTGATATACAACTAACTGATATACAGAAACAGAAGCTTGACAAGACTTAATAACACGAAAGCAGATTAGCAAAAAAATGATTAAACGGCAAAGAAAATTTAGAATGAAATAAAAGGAAAGTTAATCTGCATAGTTATTATTACTAAACAATGTACACATGCCATAGAATTTATCGAAATTGTGATATGTGATCAAAATCACTACATTACCCATGTTCAAATTATTCTCTGCTTATACAACTGCGGTGCTAACTAGGATCTGCCGTCAATTACTTAAAAACATTTGGGTCGATTATGAACTTGTCTTTGTCCTATGATATACAATAGAATAGTCAGACTTTATCTACTTCACTGAATTATCGTAGTTCAACAATAGTAACTTTTTAGGGCTGAACATTCATCATCATCATAGATGTGAGCGCATAACCATACAACTACCTATGAATCTTAATTTATCAGTGAAGAAGCGAAAAAATACAAGGTTGTTCATAAAATGAACAAAACAGCTAACATACATGTAATACCAACACAACAATCGGCAATAATCATTTGCACTCTGAGTTAGAAAAAATAGACCATAAAAAGATATCCAGAATGAATTTCATATGTCACCTCTCAAAGTTTAAGATATCGAAACTACTTAACGCAGTATATACAAAGTCAACAAAACTATCCTCCTAAACTACAAATCATCATTATTATATTCAGAATATTACTTAATACGGGATTTACCCTATGTGGTAGATACGTTTTTAGCTTTGGTCATTAAAACATGAAAGCATGAAAGAACCACAAGGATAATTATAAAAAAGAATAAAAGACTATCAAAGGGAGAATCGATAATAATAATAATAATGATAATGATAATAATAATAATAATAATAATAATAATAATAATAATAATAATAATAATAATAATAATAATAATAATAATAATAAACATACGTATGAAATTTAGGGAAATTAGGTTTGTCGGATAATTCATTCATTTTTGTATTGTGATCAGTAGAACAGTTAAACGAGGTAGCTTTTTCAGAAATTGTTTGTATGTGTGGTGTGTTAGTTGGTGAATCACATGCATTCAGTTGTAATAAATCGAATATATTAGAAAGAACATAACCAATTCCCATTGATTGTTCAGTGTCATTTGTTGACTGACCACATATAGGCTGTGGAATAGACTGATCATTATCATCATCGTCGTCATCATCATCATCATGAACATCATTATCATCGCCCTCTTCGTCACCGTCATTATCTTCACCATCATCATCCATTGTCGGGTCCATTGCCAGTAATTTATTCTCGTCAAAATCATTTGAACAAATTACATCCAATGAACAGTGACTATCTGGTAAGGCTAAACCAAACCATGAACTACCAGTTCCTCGAACTTTTATATCTAAGGATTGACATTTTTTAGAGATAAACTAATTAGGATAAACATGAAATTCGAAAGATTGGTTATCTCAGTTAAAACATTATTGGTCACTCATTTTGTATTCTTCTAGAAGTAGGATTATTGTTAATTCTTGAGATAGAAACCCAATGACTATCATACTCTTTAAATTGATTACATTTTTATAATTGAAATGACGAAATGATCTTAGCTAGACCACAACTGAAAACCCGGGAACGCTAGAAGGCCTTTTCATCCTATTATGGGACTTCTCAGCAGTACACCTCCACGATCTTGCACACATGGGTCGGGCCCAGGATTTTAGGTTTCGCGTGCGAACACTTAACGTCTAGACGATCGAGCCGTTATCCGATGATGTTAGTGTATAACTTTAATCAATATATGATTTTGCTCAATCCTTCATCATGTTCCTCCGATCTTAACATTCTTTGTATATGATTGAATTTTTATTTTAATACGTTAGTAAGAAATGAGACAATTTGAAAACATAGACTGTTATGAGCTTCCATATATGACTGTTTATCTGTACGTGAAACAACATGGCTTGATATACGGTATTTTACGTTTCAATTGCTAACCAAGATAAAATCAACTTACATAGTTGTTGGAAATGAAAACAGATCTATTTAAACATTAAGTGTAGTAATGATGGACAGCAGTTATCAGTGGAATCCAGGACACGCGTTTCGTCCTGTTTGGGACTCGTCAGCTGGATATACCTGCATCTGAGAGTTGATGTTTACTCTGGGACTCGAACCCAGTACCATTCGCTCCAAACGCCATCGCGTTATCCACTCAGCTACTGAGTCCTGATAGTCACTTGCTTGTGCAATGGGGTGAATTTAAATTCACTTGATATTGTTTGGCTTGTATCTTCCCATTGGGGTTTAAAACCGCAACTGATCAGTCTTTTATTGGCATATGTGCATACAGTCTTAAACCTCAATGGGAAGTTACAAGCCAAACAATATCAAGTGAATTTAAATTCACCCCATTGCACAAGCAAATGACTATCAGGACTCAGTAGCTGAGTGGATAACGCGATGGCGTTTGGAGCGAATGGTACTGGGTTCGAGTCCCAGAGTGAACATCAACTCTCAGACGCAGGTATATCCAGCTGACGAGCCCCAAATAGGACGAAACGCGTGTCCTGGATTCCACTGCTAGCCACTATCCATCACTGCCTACAAAAAGCTTGTGAATTAAGGCAGTGTCGAGGCATACGCACAGTATGCACGTATGCCAATAACAGACTGATCAATCGCAGTCTTAGACCTCAATGGGAAGATACAAGCCGAGCAATAACAAGTGAATTAGGTGTATTACTTTCACCATATTAAATTTTGACTTAATTTTCACAGTTTTAAAGTTAAACCCATACAAAACAAAAATACTCCACATTACTCGGAATTCGAGCTTCAATAGCAGCAATCAGATCATTTGCGAAATTCTGTCGTCGCTGCATCTCACAGGTATCGGCCACAACAGAAAGAAAAGCGGATTTTAGTTCTGAATCTAACGCAGTTCTATGGGAATCCGTGATGGGAGGCAAATAAAGAAGAGTTGTTTTTAGTTCAGCGGTCTAGAAGTCAAGTAAACACAAATTCAAAAATATATGATGAATGTATTATGCAGTTCATCATCTTATTATTGAAAACTAGAACAGAAATCAGAATGACATCTTGAAATTAAAATTGTTACTAAATTTATTGTTTTACACAAGATTATTATAGTAAAATCTTCAAAGATTAGAAGCGTTCAGTTGGTTTGATCTTAAGGTGACTTTATTACAAAGAAAGCAGCTTGTGGATCACAAATAAAAGAAACGTTTCCAGGAAAGTGTACCAAGTGCAAACTCAAGTACTTGGGCTAAGAGTTGAATAAGTGAACCTTGATTCGGCGTCTGGAATTCTCTTTATAGTGAATTCATCGATAATCTGCGAATGGGTTTTCGGTTTGAAGAAAACCCAACAACGGATTAATTGCTCCTATCACTTCGATTAATAATAATTTTCATATAAAAATTCGCCTCTAGCTCGCCGTTACTAATGTTTTACGATAACAACTTGCTCCAAAGAAAATGTCATTGCGATCAAATTGAATGTGCGTTTGCAGATCTATATGACAACTCCCTGAAAGACTGATTATGTCATGAAGTGATAATACCCCGTTGTTTAAACCGAACTAGGTGGGGCAAAATTAAAACATGGACACGATGGCAAAATTCTTATACCGTTTGTTTCCCGAAATCCAATTCGATTATCAATAACATCAAAAATCAAACAACTACATATAATGGTCTGACTTCTACCTGTTAACTCCACAGTATAAGTTAATATGATAATGTTAAACAGATGGTGACCATGCATACAAAAAGTGTTTCAGTAATATCACGAATAGAACAATGACAGTAATGTAGAAAAACATAAGTCCCAATATTACATATTTTGATCTGTCTTTTTAACAGTCATGTGTCGTGCTACACATAAAACCCTTGTGATACTTAAATGACTTCTAGGCTGTTAGAATAACAAACTCTCTTGAAACTTTGCAACGAAATTAATTCAGGTACACCATCCAAAGCCTATTAACGCTTACAAAAGAAGTTAATGCTGTGAAAACTTTTAGAAAATGACCCAAAATTACCAATTATTTATGTACTCGGCTAACCAGATTGGAAAAAACAAAAATATACTGTTTTGTGGTTTACCTAAGAATCTTAACTGACTAAAAGGTGCTCCATGCACTTTCATTCTACTATAGGTGCTTTATTATTACCACAGACCATAATACTACTGGAGATTTCAAACGGAATTAAGAATAAGTTTGGATCTATGGTCCAGTGTCCGAGAATCAATGATATATAAATGATGGGTTATTTTAATTATCAATGATATATACAACAAACACAGTTTTAATCTACCGAAACACTAAAGTGTGGACTGACGGAAAATAATCCACAAATCTGTTAGTGCCCTGTCTAAAGATTTGTAGGTAGGAGACATATTACATCTATTCACCCGGCTATTAACATGACAGGGAAAAAAACAAAATCAGTTTAAGTCCATGAAACTGCAAAAACAATGAATCTATTCCTTAACCCTTACCATGAGGTTCACATTATGAGAATTCGAAGAGGTATGGTGAATAGCTGCAGCAACCGTAGACATGACCATTCCACAAACATTGCATAAAAGTCCACATCTCTATGATAAATAAAATGAGAACGTAAAATAAGGAAAAAAGGTTTTACCATTTATATTAACAATTGACACTATTCCACTAGCATTACGATGTTAGATTAGTAAATCCACTTAATTATAATACATTTTGTCGCTAATTCAGAACGAGTAGCTCTCAATATTCTGTAAACATGATACAAAGTGCGTTATCCAACTAACTAATGTGAAACGATTTAATCAGACTGTGATGTAGAAATCATATATTAATACATTTGAACAGAAAGTTTCTTTACACTACTACAAATTTTTCATAAAAATTACCAAATAAAATATTTACTTAACATTTGAACGCAAAAATTAATCATTGTGAAAATCATTTCATGATAAACTGAACACAACTTAAAGAATAAGAAATCTAAGAGAGAAACTGTCAAGATGTATTTCATTTCAGTACAAAACTTTCCTTTAGTAACCAAGTCCTTTAGGTATGATGAAGGTTTTCAACCTGGCTACAGTTCATGATGTAAAATATTTTCAAATCAATAGGGTCTAAATGGTCATAAAACCTAAATTTCAAGAGCTAACCAAAAAAGAGTTTGCAGACATCACGGCCAAGTTTATACTTGATTTTATGTATTTATTTGTTTATTTGAACACATAAATATTGGTACAAGAGGGCACCAGATACATATACGCCACAAAATAATAATGAAAATGAGAAGATAAAAAATGCAAAGGGTGTATAAAAAGAAAAAAAGAACAATAACGACAAAAAATTAGTGTGTGGTAGTAAAAAAATAATCATAATGGGGGAAACAGAAAGAATTCTTTCAGTCAAACAAGTTACGACCACTTCTTATGAAGAAAGTAAAAGGTCACAACAGAACCGCAACTGGCTTCTATTCTGGGAAATATCTGATAACGTCTTTAGCCACTGTGTAGCACCATCTCTCGGACCCCAGCCAGAGAGTCGTGAAGGACCAACACAAGCCAGTCCTTTGTAGTTTTCCTTCATACCACGACACCATGTCATACACTGACCACCTCTCCACTTTTTCCAAACAGTCCCAGCATCGACTAATAATGCACGATGTGGAATTTTCTGGTACGACATTTGTAGAACATGTCCAAGCCACCGAAGTCGGTGTTTCAAGATGGTGACACCAATCGCATTATCGTCACCGTGCCCGAACGCACGATGCCACTGGATGTCAGCAATCCTTAGGAGACAACGACGGTCAAACACAGAGTCGTCTAACATCCTCAACTCGGAGAGGCCAGGTTTCACAAGCATAGAGCGAAACTGCTCTCACCGACGTGTTGTAGATCCGACCTTTTACAGCCAGACTAACATCACGAAGGCGCCAAAGATGGCCCAGTTTGGCATAAGCCGATCTGGCTTTCACTATACGTGCGTTAATGTCAACACTCACGCCACCACCAGCACTTATGCGGCTACCTAGATACACTAACTTCTCGATTACTTCTATCTGATCACTATCCAGGGTGAGTACAGGATTATAATCCTGCCAGTATTCTAGAAGTACTTTGCAGTTCGAAGGTGCAAAGCACATACCATACCTACGGACACTGATTGCTAACTGATTAAGTGCGAGTTGCATGGTTTGAGCATTATCGCACATTAAGATAATATCATCCGCATACTCAAGGTCGAGAAGTCTTTCTCCAGGCAACAGATCCACACCGCCATTACCTACATACATCAGAGCTGTTTCCAGAATGTCATCGATGGCAAAGTTGAAGAGGAATGGTGAGATTGGGCAACCCTGCCTAACCCCACTGCTTGAATGGAACAGTGGAGAGAGGTGGTTGTATGCCCTCACTCTGCCTAAGGTGTAGGGCCTTTAGGGTGTTAACAAACTTCTCAGGCACATCCTTCTTCAATAGACAATCCCAGATAACAGTCCTGTCCAACGAATCGAAGGCAGCCCTGATGTCAAGAAACACTACGATTGTTGGTCTGTGATAAGTGTGACGGTGTTCTAACATTTGGCGGAAGGTGAACATATAATCAATACATCCTCGACCAGAATGAAAGCTATTCTCCTCCTCATTAGTCAAACTTTCTTGAGTTATGAACAGTCTACGAAGTATGACAGAAGCCAATAGCTTGGACGCAATCGGAAGTAGACTTATCCCCCGATAGTTGTTACAGGAACGACGTGAACCCTTTTTAAAAATAGAAACAACTATCGACTCATTCCATCATGTTGGAACACTCTCTAGTTCCCAGACCCTTGTAAACAACGTATTCAGTTCCTTAACCAGAAAGTTACCACCATCTTTAAAAAGAGCCGGAGGTAAGTCATCTGGACCTGGTGGTTTGTAGCGCTTCAAGAGTTGGAGTTCCTTGAGGACTTCCGCCTCGATTGGTGAATCAGTCGTCACCGGCCATGGAGGGCAGGACAGTCCGGCAGATATTGCCGGGGCAGCAGGCCAGTTGAACTGACCTTCGAAGAATTCTGCCCATCATCCAAGACGTCGATGGATGTTAGTGATTGGTATCCTGTCATCCTCACAGATTGTTTCGCTCACACCAAACTTCTTGCTGCCAGTGGCTCGGATGAGTTGAAAGAGCTTCCGGCCGTTGTCAGACGCAGCTACTGCTTCCAACACATTAGCACGCTCCGATTACCAGGCTCCTCAGTCCTTATGCAAACTTTGCCCAGTTTCATTACGTAACAGCCTTCATTTGTGGTCAAACTCATGGTCACCCATAGAAGACCGACGGGTCACAATGAGTTGTAAGGAGCCTGAATAAACAAAGTGCTTATAAGCGAAACGTTTCGCGAAGCCGCAAGTGACTTTACTCACCATTTTGATGGCGTCATGCAATTGCAACCAATGCTCATCTATACTTTTCGGTGGGATGTTAGCTAGCCTAGAAGCTAGCCCGGTTCGATACTTAGTTGCGACAGAAATACTTAGTTGCAACTTGATAGTTTCAAATAAATTGAGCTCTGTGTAGAAAGTTAATCAAAAATATTGTTTCACTAAATCCCACTTCTTCAGAGTGGCTTACATTAAGTCATAAAACGTCGGAAACATAATTTTCTATTCATTGGGATAAAACAAGAGATATACCTATTTTTAACAAAGAATGATTAGAATAATTATGTTCAATAAAAGCTGTCTATTACGATTGATAATAATATGCCTCAAGGTACTCTATTACACAACCAACTTACACGTTTCGTTTTGAGAGGTTCTATATGGTTTTTATTCAAGTATTCAAGTTCCTCTGATGATAGACCTACAATAGTAATAATAATAAAAAAGAGGATGAAACAAAAACATTTACATTTGCAAAGTAATTGTCCACCATAAAGAAAATAAATAGCTTCAGTAAAATTAATCTCTGTTAGACAAAATGGATGGTCTTCATTGTCACACCTCTATATAGAGGTTGACTTATCTATCTAAGAAACTAGTATAATGACAATGGAAAAAACATTGTTTTACAAGATCCTTCCCTTTCAGAATGGACATTTGATGGTCAATAGTAGTTCACACAAAGTGAAGAGAAACAGATACATTCAAGGCCTAGACAAAAGTTCACTCACTCTCTGATAGACCATAAAACAATTGCCAACACGTATTCTTAATTTTATTTTTTTGGCATTCAATTAGATTGAGAAGTCCCTTAACAGTCCATCTCGCTACGAAAGACAATTGTCAAGCGTTTAATTTTCTAGATTCTATATTTAAATACTCGTCTTGCATGATCTTGAATGACCACAATTTCTACTGCTTTCATGTATATACATATTTCTCTATTACATATGGAATGAATAAACAACTAGAAAAAAGAATTTATATACCATAATTGATCTGATTGTTCTACACGTTTAAAAGATCGTTTAACGACGTAAAGCAACGACACAACAAGGAATTAAATTAATTTAGTTTGAATTTTTAGATGATTGTAACTACTTTCCTATTTAAATAGCGTGTACGAAATCTGATGACATATACCACGTAAGGAACAAATGAAAATTATAACATTTAAAACCAGGATAATAATAGCTTAGGGCTAAATCTTAATGATAAATTCAGATTAGGTAAGCGAGAACACAATATTTGATGCTCATCGCTATCGGCAAAACACTATAAAAACTACGGAAATTTGTGACATATCAAACAAAAACCACAAACAATAATATCAACTTGAAAACCTGCGAGCATCCATAATCGCATCGCCTTTCAGATTTTGGTCACAACTTGTACCACCTTGTTTTTGATGAAATAAAAGTGATCAGGGAAATGACGAGTAATAAATACTTGGCCGGAAAACACATGATGTTTTTTGTAGCATTTTAATTAGGAAACCATTAGATGAAGATGGTACTAAAACTTATACAAATGTGAAACTTGCCAGCACAAGTGTTGGTTAACTGTATTTTGCTTCAGATAAGTTATGTATTTAGATGCATCAATGTTTACAATCTACTAGCCCATACCAATAGCCCCTTTACTGTAACACGATGCTCATACAAACAAAACACTAATTCACGAATATTTCGTATATTTCTTGACAAAATTACCTGATAAAAATTCACACTGATCTACTAAGTTTGATTGACACAAGATTTTTTCGAAATAAACCACAAATCAATAACTTGTTTACCGTTTGACAGAGTTTGATTAGGTAGATAATTTAGATTCGGAACGCCTTAAGATTAATTAACATAACATTCTAACCTTCAGTAGAAATAAAGGGGGCTTCGTATTATTGGCTGTGATAGATTAGGTTGTAATATTGATGTACCTGCCTTCGTCCTCATATCGTATCTCCGATGTCTAGTCTTTTTTATCATCAATGATATTTTTGCTATCTCCGCTACTATGAAACTTGATAATTTCAACTCTCTGTGCTACCAAGGTATAGCAACTTAAAACTGATGTACGTACGTGCCTCCAAGTGGCCTAGTACGATCGAGGGTGGGGAGAAAAAGCTCCCTCTCCCGAATTACTCTCACGTGGATACGTGTATATAGCCACTGACAGGGAAGTCCTGCTCACTCCCTTCTTAAGGCAAGGGTAATGTTTACGAAATTGAGGACGAAAAGCGAATTTCCGACGCTCTAACCGGGTTGGTGGATACAGAGGATCCACCTAGGGGAGTTGGAAAACCATGGTTCCAAACCAATGGTGCACATGGGCTCTAGGATCCTGAGCGAACAAATGGCGTATGAACCTATTTTTGGTCACCGGCTACCATGGGACTGCACCTCCCAACGTTGCTCCACTGTCTTATGGATTAGACCTGTAGGTCAAAGGCTCAAGGAGTGAACCCCTAAGAAAAACCCCTATTTCGATTTAGGTGTCCGGGCAGTATTCCAGTCCTCACACAAATCAAATGATTTGTATGGCGCATCAGTCAGTCAGTCAGTCAGTAACAACGTAGAACTTCGTACGTACGTACATCAGTTCGAGTTGCCACATCACATTAGCACAGAGATGCATTTGTCGATTCGAATCCCTTAGTGGTAGAGGCGGTAAGAGTATAAGTAGTAATCGGAAACATTAGGGTTTGAAGATGTCATTTGAGGAGTATAATTCAGTGAAATAAACTTGGGAAGAGAAAAAAAGAGACAAGGATGATTCAGGAGATTAGAATTTGAGAGAACACAGAGTGTATGCACCTGCGCCATTGCAAACGATTTTGAGCCATGTCATTCAAGGTCTCTAACCATCGGTTGCTATCATCTCGCAGTCCCCAACCAGGTAGTCTACACCTACCGACATGACTCAGTCCACTTGTCAGTGACTTCATGGACTTGTGCCATGTTTTGGTCTGGCCGCCCCTAGCTTTCTTCCAACCTACTCCTATACCACTGAACATCGCACGTTGAGGCAGTCGGTCGTTGGGCATATATATATGGTGATGACTTGTACCAATGTTTATGTGTTTAAATTAATAAAATACGTACGTACCAGGTCCCACACGGAAAATGACTAACCTCATAATCATGGTCTATATAAATTGTCAAGGGGATTTCTAATAGTACGGGAAGTGAGTCTTCTGGTTTCCTCGTCTATGGGTGCATTTATTTATTTGGACACAAACATTGGTACAAGGAGGCACCAAATACATATGCGCCACACAATAACAATGAGGTAATGAACAGATAGATAATGTATGGTACGCATAATTAAAAGAACAACGAATAGAAATTATTGTATGAGAGAAATAATAATAATAATAATAATAATAATAATAATAATAATAATAATAATAATAATAATAATAATAATAATAATAATGGAAGAAACAGTTCAGTTAGGAAAAATATGATCAGAAAGAATTCTTTCAGTCAAAGAAGTTACGTTCTCTTTTATGAAGAAACTCAGTCAGTCAGTAACAACGTAGAACTTTGTATGTACGTAAATCAGTTCGAGTTGGCATGCTACATTATCACAGAGATGCAGTTGTCGATTCAAATCCCGTAGTGTTAGAGGTAGTAAGAGTATAAGCAGTAATCGGGAAGATTAGGGTTTGGAGATGTTATTTAAAGAGTATAATCCAGAGAAATAAATTTAGGAAGAAGAGACAAGGAGGAATCAGGAGATTAAAATTTGGGAGAACACGAAGAGTGGATGCACCTGTGCCATTGCAAACGATTTTGAGCCATGTCATTCAGGGTCTCTAACCATCGGTTGCTATCATCTCGCGGTCCCCAACCAGGTAGTAAAAGAAAGTTACAGTTACCAGAGTCGTGAAGGACAAACAGAAGCCAATCCTGTACAGCTTTCCTTCATGCTATGATACCATGTCATACACTAATGTGTAAGCCACCGAAGTCGATGTTTCAAGAGTGACACGAATTGAATTATTGTCACTGTGTTCGAATGACAAGTTAAGGTACGACCTCCAACTCTTTACGAAGTTGAAAAAGCTACAAAACGCCTGAAGCATGGGGGAGCAGCAGATTTACCCCTGAGATTTTTAAGGATGGTGGTCCAGTGAGATTAACTGAGGTCTTAGGTAGAATCTGGGAACTGGACGTAATCCCATCTGACTGGTCTCAATCACTGATTGTGCCAGTCTATAAGAAAGGACAAAAGTCCTCTTGTGACAATCACAGAGGAATCAGTTTGACTAATATAGTGTCTAAAATATTAACTTCAATAATACTTCGACGCTTAACTAAAGCTCGTGAAGAAAAGACTAGAGAAAACCAGGCTGGTTTTCGACCTGGACGTGGTTGTATAGACCAGATATTCACACTATATCAGGTCCTAGAAAATAGACACACATTCAGACGCCCCACAATCGTAATATTTCTCGACCTTAAGGCAGCATTTGACTCTGTTGATAGTGAGGTTTTATGGCAGTGTTTGTCACTGAAAGGAGTACCAAAGAAGTACCTTGTAAAGGCTCTCTACTCGAACACAACTGGTCGAGTGAGAGCTTACGGAGGACTGTCATCAGAATTGATTACATCAAGTGGTGTTCGTCAGGGCTGTCCAATCTCTCCATTCTTGTTCAACTTTGTCGTCGACGTGCTTTTAGAGATAACATTTTCCTCATCTAAATTTCCAGGGGTTGAACTTCTACCACGAGGTTCACTTGTTGACTTAGAATATGCTGATGACACAGTTTTATTTGGTGAAGATGCTGACAAAATGCAGAGTCTTCTGACCACTCCAAACAACAATGCTAACATGGTCGGGATGCGATTCCACCCCCCCGAAACGCAAAATGTTGCTTCAGGATTGGGTTGCATCGACACCCGAACTAATGAAAGGGAACAAAGTAATTGAGCGTGTCGACCGCTTCACTTATCTTGGGAGTCTCATCAGTCCTCGTGGTTTGGTGTGTGACGAAGTCTCAGCACGGATACAGAAGGCTCGACTAGCTTTTGCCAACTTGCGTCATTCACGGCATAGGCGAGATATCCATTTATCAACAGAAGGACGTGCTTACTGCGCAGCAGTTCGTTCCGTCCTACTTTATGGCAGTGAAACATGGCCGGTAAGAGTAGAGGATATTCGTCCAATGTGTCTTCGAAACATTGCTCATATATCCTGGGACCATCGAGTAAATAATGCAGTTGTTAGGAAACGGGCACTAGGTAATGCTGGCAAATCGATTGGTGACGTAGTGAAACTTCATCAGTTGAGATGACTGGGACATGTGTTACGTATGCCCAACCATCGAATGCCTCGACGTGCGATGTTTTCTGGTGTGGGAGTAGGTTGGAAGAAAGCTAGGGGCGGCCAGACCAAAACATGGCACAAGTCCATGAAGTCACTGACAAGTGGACTGAGTCATGTCGGCAGGTGTAGACTAGCTGGTTGGGATCCGAGAGATGATAGCAACCGATGGTTAGAGACCTTGAATGACATGGCTCAAAATCGTTTGCGATGGCGAAGGTGCATCTGCTCTTTGTATTCTCCCAAATTCTAATCTTCTGAATTCTTCATGTCCCTTCCTTTTTTTCTCTTCTCAAATTTATCCTAGAATAACATCTTCAAACCCTAATCTTTCCGATTACTGCTTATACTCTTACTACACCTACCACTACGGTATTTGAATCGACAACTGCATCTCTGTGCTAATGTGGCATGCCAACTCGAACTGATGTACGTACGTACAAAGTTCTACATTGTTACTGACTGACTGTGCCCGAACGCACGATGTTAAACCAGTGTATTACTAACATGATGTTGCCACTGGATGTCAGCAATCCTTAGGAGACAACGACGGTCAAACACAGAGTCGTCTAACATCCTCAACTCGGAGAGGCCAGGTTTCACAAGCATAGAGCGAAACTGCTCTCACCGACGTGTTGTAGATCCGACCTTTTACAGCCAGACTAACATCACGAAGGCGCCAAAGATGGCCCAGTTTGGCATAAGCCGATCTGGCTTTCACTATACGTGCGTTGATGTCAACACTCACGCCACCACCAGCACTTATGCGGCTACCTAGATACACTAACTTCTCGATTACTTCTATCTGATCACTATCCAGGGTGAGTACAGGATTATAATCCTGCCAGTCTTCTAGAAGTACTTTGCAGTTCGAAGGTGCAAAGCACATACCATACCTACGGACACTGATTGCTAACTGATTAAGTGCGAGTTGCATGGTTTGAGCATTATCGCACATTAAGATAATATCATCCGCATACTCAAGGTCGAGAAGTCTTTCTCCAGGCAACAGATCCACACCGCCATTACCTACATACATCAGAGCTGTTTCCAGAATGTCATCGATGGCAAAGTTGAAGAGGAATGGTGAGATTGGGCAACCCTGCCTAACCCGACTGCTTGAATGGAACAGTGGAGAGAGGTGGTTGTATGCCCTCACTCTGCCTAAGGTGTAGGGCCTTTAGGGTGTTAACAAACTTCTCAGGCACATCCTTCTTCAATAGACAATCCCAGATAACAGTCCTGTCCAACGAATCGAAGGCAGCCCTGATGTCAAGAAACACTACGATTGTTGGTCTGTGATAAGTGTGACGGTGTCCAAAACGAGGGGCAGTCTTGTACAAAACCATACCATTAGGGTTTTTCAAGTCCCCTAAGTGGATCCTCCGTATCCACCAACCCGGTTAGAGCGTCGGACATTCGCGTTTTTTCCTCTTGATTTCATAAACACTAGCCATGCCTCGAAAAGGCAGTGAGTATGACTTCTGTTATTGGCTGTATACACGTGTCTACGTGAGAGTAATTTGGGAGAGAGAGCTCTTTCCCCCCACAGTCGACCGTAATAGGGTATTTGGGGGCTGTAGATCAGTGGTGTCTGATAAATGATGTGCAAATGGCATGATTAACATATTCATATATGTGAATTCTCTGTAGAAAACCCCATGTGATTAATTATTATTACATGAAAAACATCGAGGATAAAAGGTGAAAATTACCATCCATATGCGCTTCTTTATTTTTCTTATTTCTAGTATTGGTACCCATAGTAATTTAAAACCTGGAACTTTGATAAAAGGATTAAAGCGATAGGATATGTGATCCCAAAAAAGAATGGCTGAAAATGCAAATAATATAGAGAACAGGATCTATTACTTTCAAATTGTTAAAAGACATCATGAGTATTAAGATTTTGTGAAAACGTAATGAATCATAGTGCATTTAATTCATTGATTACTTATAAACCCGAAGATGTCTCATTAATTGTGAACTGAAGTGAGGAGAAACAAACGGGAAATTATCGCAATCGAAAAGCATTTTTTAAAATACCGATTCCCCAACATTATGATGATAACTAGCTAGTAGCATAAGGGTTTGTATTTGATTCAATTACAGTTCAACACGAACTCCTATGAATTTACTACATGAAATTGATTTTTTGAAAGTAAAAGTAATTAGTAATACTTCGTTAACTAGTTATGGTATGAAGCTAGTTTCATATCTGCTATCTTTAGTTACCGATGATACAGTACACCCCATACATTATAATTTCAATACCAGTCTAGTTAAGACATCAAACCAGAGAAGACAAACGGTGTGTGTGGTTTAGCAATACTCTGCTCTTATCTGCCCATGAAGATTAACTCAAAAAGTAGTGGTTAAACGATCGCCGAAGAAATATCACTGGTCAAACTGCTGTAGAGGCACTTATCCTTTGCATGAAAAGTAGTACTATTTTACAACCCTTTTTTTAATGTTATTCAATAGTTTTGGCCTTAGATTTTTCATCCTTTATTTTATCTTACAAATATTTCTGAAACCACTCTCATTACTTCGCTCTCCTTTTCTATGATGTATTGTACTATGCCCAAAACAATCACAGTTCATCACTGGAGGCCCGATATCAGGCATCTCAAAATCCATCACAATGCAATAGATACAATATTTCTTTTTCTCCTTCAATACACTATTACTCTAACTTTAATTACACGGTTTAGCCGAGTCATTTTAAATCATTCGTTTTGTTGGTCAACTGCTGATGGTATTTCATTCTCGCCTCTGTATTTCTCTTTTCCTTTTGTGGTTGGAAAAGTGGCAACTTGGTATATGATTGCTCCAGGTAGCATATCATATATCTGTGACCGAATGTCAAAGGTAGGCACTGTCGATTGAGAGTTGACAACATAATTCGTTTTCTACATCATTGAAAAGAGAAATGGTACCCTCTCTGTTGGAACGGGAACTAATATACTAGTCAAGAACAAATGTGTTGCAGGAAGAAACAGATCCTACGTACAGTTCGAAAACTACACAGAGAATACCAGTTTACTTCGATGATATTTAAGCAAGTTAAAACGAGCACTCAATTAATTCACGAACTTACAATGAACAGATGGGCTTTTTGAAGATGCACGCCAAGAGGACATATTCGAAGTACTAACTACTTGTGATGTAAAAAAAAGGTTAACAGGACGGTATGGCATACGCCACAGGTGGTTCCTAGTTATTTGACCAGGATAGTTAAACCGCCCCTTAATGTCAAACCTATCATTTTTCGACGTCATCTATATATACTACATATCCCATGTGTCATTTACCAAATTATCGACCAACAAGTCTCCTAGATGTTGCTACCAAGTTTAATACTGGGCTAGTACCAGCTGCAAATCTGCGAGTTGATTCACCTCTAACCACTTCTCAAGTGTTGAACATGTAAAACGCATAGCAACGGAAGCGTTTTTATATCAAACAGTGGTTTACTTTATTTGGGAAATTGTCGTCACATTTTTTAACCCAATAGTTTTAGAATTATATCTAAATAAATTGCAAAGTACGTTTCAGTGGCAGTTATAATGATTAGGTTTGTTTCGTTTACCAAAGACCCTAATTTATGGATCCTAATTTCGAGGTTATGTGAGTCTGATTCAAAAAAAACTCCGAGAGGAAAGAGCTAATTATCCGGGAAAATGACAGCTGATGATTTATTAGTTAGGGAGGTTAAACAAGGGCCAACACTGTCTATGGAGACTACATTTCGCTGAGCAGAACCAAGGTCTCGAGCAACATTCCAAATCTGAAGACCATATGGGACTTATCATTATGGTACAATGATCGGTGCCGACAACCATATGGAGCGAAAACTTTAGAGTGAAAACACACACCGATTGAGAATGTAGATTTATACCAGATTAATTGAAAAGCTTAAACTATAAGTCAGAAAAATGATTAAAAATGGTAGAAATACATACGACGAAAGTCCCGGCCCAAAACTACTGCACCGCCAAATCTGTTGCCGAAATTAACCTTGAACTTTCATTTCCTATTGGCCAATGAGTACATTACCAGGTACAGCAAGTAATTAGTCCCTAAAAGATACTAAAAATACACTATGTATGATGATTTTAAGAGACTCATTAGTTTTGTAAGGTTTACAAAAACTATCCACTCATCGCGCTCTATTTAAAAGGACAGTGGTATTGTTTCTCGTTGAGTTAATTTACTGTTTTGATCGTAAATTACGCATCAAAACTACTGTTTATACTTTAATTGCATCTACTCCTAGGTAAAGTGATAGTGTATTGAGTGTTTCTCTTTTGCTTTCGTGTATTTATTGCGTCGAAGCATACTTGATTGATATTTACTTGATATATTTAGTTACATATGTGGAGATAGACCCGACAACCTTATTTTGTAAATAGTTTTCAATGTTATTTGTATTTATTTTGTCAACCTCCCACTGTATGTATATTTAACATTAAATGACTGTAACTGTTGTTTTAGTAAATGACCTTGAACACACTTTCCGTTGTACTACTACATAGCGTGACATACCACTGCTGGCTAACAAATACACTGCTTCTCACACATTCCTCGTTCTATTTTCATTTGTGATTGAGCTAAATGAAGTCTAAATCAAATACTGTCTACATTTATAGACTGTAATCGGAATATATCACATCCTACGTTGGACTATATCACTAGAGATTTCGCTAACCTGCTCAGAGTCATCAAGCATTTATAATTGTGGATTTACATTACTGGACGTAATCAGAACACGCAACGTTTGGTCAATCTAAGTAACGTCCCTAATTTTATTGTATTTGTAACAATTAGTTGTATATGCTAATATTACTGTTGATTTTTAATAACTTTGTTTATACTTTTCGCGTTCATATCTGTTTGGTCCACCACACATATCCTGTTTGTGTCATCGTTGTAGTTGATTTTCAAGATGGCTAGCTCTGCTCATAAATGTGGACAACCATATTGCTTATCTTCCGTGGAGGAAGGGATGCAATGTGATGAGTGTAATAAGTGGCTCCATAAGATGTGCACCCGATTAAGCCCCATTGCATGTAAAACGTGCTCATAGCCGAACTCTCATTGGCTTTGTAGTTTTTGTTGCTCGTGCAAAACACTACTCATCCAGGAAGCAATTGGCCTTTTGATGTTGGCTAATAATAAGGTTGATGAGGGCCGTACTGGTAACATTGGTACTGATGGCGAAGATTGCGTTAGTGTCGTAAGTGCTGTCACGGCGCAAGCCAGACATCTACCTGTGCATCCCGCAGTTAAACGTTTTCCCCCGAAACGTTCGGTGAGTGACACGTCATTAGACGTTGGTGGCCATATTGCTACAGCTGCGACTAGTGATCCAGACAAGACAATTACTGTCCCGAGTTGTTCTAATGTAGACGTTTCGACTGATGGAAAATGGATGACGCGAAAACGCAGAAGAGTAGGAAAGAGGGCTTAAACTAATGAATGTTTACTTGATAAGTCCTTGGTGGACTCTCAGGCCAATCCGCCAAAGTCCCATAGTAAAGCTTCGTCTAACATTGTTTTGGGTCACTCGCTCGACTCCCACGACTCTGTTAAAATAAAAACTAATCGTAAGATACCAGTAGTTAATATACAGGACCTAACGTCACGGTCAAAATCTGTTAACACAATTTCAAAGGAAGCTGAACCCCTTCCTAGCTTGAATATTTGGAATCTAGAGTAGTCGAAAGACAACGACCCTGCTAGAAGACATGCACATGACCTGCAGTTAGTGGAGTCTGTGGTAAGAAATGTATTACCTGAAGAGGTTTCAGGGGTACATATTACAAAAGTAATACGACTTGGTAAATGGGTTGGAGGCGAGACCCAACCAAGAAGGATCCTGAAGCTGGTTCTCGGGAGTTTTGAAGAAAGAGACATATTATTGAAAAACGAACTAAAAACTCGTCCCTCAAATATCCGTATTCGACCAGATTGGCCACTTGAGGATCGAATCAAGTGGAAGAATGCTCTTACGGAGTTGAGGACTCGCAAATTAAATGGCAAAAATAACCTTACCATTAAGGGTTTTCGGGTAGTCAGGTCTTGGAAGCCAATGCTTCCGAGGCCTGTATGTGTAGAACGATTGATTGCCAAAACACCTTAAGTGTGTGCTACACGAACGCTCGTAGTCTTAGAAACGAAACGTCCGAGCTAAGTTTGATAGTGGAAGAATTATGTCCCGATATAATCGTTGTTACATAATCTTGGTTCACCTTAGATATAAACTGTTCTCCCATCATTGCAGGCTATATCTATATTAGAAGTGATAGAGTTTCAAGTTGCAAAGGGGGAGGTATAATATTATACGTTAGGGATCACTTTCGTATACAATCGACCATATCGGAGGCTCATATCAGTGGCACATGTGAGATTGTATGTTTTAAGATTAAATCTAGAAATGGGTTAGTGACTATAGGAAGAATATACCGTAGTCCGTTTTGTCTTGCTGACGACACATCTGTTCTTGGAGTATGGCAGAATATTGTCTCATCATTGGGGACTTCAACGCACTGCATATCATTTGGATAGAGCTTACAACTCCAGGTAGTAGTTTCAATAACGACCTTTTATCTACAGTTATTCAGTGTGCATTTGTACAATGTGTCACAAAACCGACACATATTGATTTCAATCATGATCTATCACTGCTGGACCTCGCCCTCACTCACCACTGTGAGGATGTCTTTGATATCCATCACCTTCCCCCACTAGTTAACAGTGATCACGTTGTAATTCACATGGTATACAATTCGTATCTGCTCCACCCCGTCCCAATATCTGGCGAGCCAATATTCCGGCGATCAGAAACTGTGCTATCTCGACTGATTGGTCGGTCGACGCGGATGGATTGATCGAAGATGAATTGAATAAGTTTAAGGCTACATTCGAGTCCGTAACATCGCCGGTTATCCCATGGTCAGCACGTAAGCTATCACATTGCCCTCCATGTATTAATAAGGAAACCCGGAAGCTGTTAAAGCGTAGGAAACATTTCTGGGACTTATTCTTGTTGACAGGTCATGAACCATTTAAGCGTGAATACCAAAAATTCCGTATTATCTGTAAGAAAACCATATCCAAATCCCGTATCACTTACGAACGACAGTTAGTATATGATAGCCGTACTTGTCCGAAACGATTGTTTTCGTATGTTAAATGGCGAATGAAACGTAGTGATGTTATTCCCCCGTTACTGTTACACGAAAATTCAGAATTACTAGCTGAATCAGATCGAGCATAAGCTGAGACTTTTACAAACTATTTTATCGAAGTCTACTCTACGTTTATTGTAACAAATACTTGTCTCACTCACACCGAGATACCTACCATTGAATCCGTACAGGTGACTGAGGAAACTGTCCTTCCGTTGATAACTAACCTCAAACCTGGTAAGATACCGGGCCCTGACGGGTTACATCCACGGTTGCTGTCATCTCTCGCGGACATTATTTCGAAACCACTCGCGACACTCTTCAACATGTCCCTTTCACTCGCTCAACTCCCTAGAGATTAGAAAGACGCTATAGTCAGTCCTATATTCAAGGACGGTCAGAGACAGATAGTATCTAACTACCGGCCTGTCAGTCTAACTAGCATAGTCGTTAAAGTACTTGAAAAGATAATTCAGGTTAGGTTTCTAAGTGACATATATTTATACAATCTGTTAGCTCCTGAGCAACACGGATTTCGTAACAAGCGTTCATGCTTGACTAACTTGCTTATTGCGAGGGAGGATTGGACCTTAGATAAAGGCCTGTCTGTCAATGTGATATTCATAGATTTTAGCGAAGCATTTGACAAGGTTTCACACGTAGGTCTTACGCAGAAGCTCACGAGCTTCGGAATGATAGGTTTTGTACATGAGTGGATAAGTAACTTCTCATGTGACCGCAGACAGAGAAAAAGGGTCAATGGGACGCTATCCGATTGGAAGCCGGTCGAAAGTGGTGTACACAAAGGCACCATCTTAGGCCCTCTGCTCTTCCTTCTCTACGTTAATGAGTAACCGCTGTTACTTAGGTCGTCGACATTATTGTTTGCGGATGATGTAAAAATCTGGAGAACACTAAAAAATGCGGCTGATCAACTGGATCTTCAAGCTGACTTGGACGATTTAGTTAGATGCGCTCGAGAGTGGTGCTTAGAAATCAATTATAGGAAGAGTGTGCTAATGCACATTGGTCACGGTAATAGTTACCGTTACACTATTGAGGGTAAACCTCTTCCTTGCGTTCAAGAGCATAAAGACTTAGGAGTAGTATTAAGTCATGATTAAAAAACAACTACGCATTACAAAGCAGCCACTATCAAAGGTTTTCATGCGTTATGGTCACTTCGCCGAGCGTTCAAATCTTTTGACGAGAAAACTTTTCGAATTTTATATCCCACCTATGTAAGACCACACTAAGAGTACTGTATCCAAGCAGCTAGCCCGTGTCTGGTAAAGGATACTAACTTTCTTGAGCGTGTCCAGCGTGTAGGAACGAAATTTGTGAAAGGTCTTTCTAGACTCCCTAACGATGAGCGTTTAAAACGCCTAAATCTTTTCACCTTGTCGTATTGTAGGATACGAGGTGACATTATACTGGCATTTTGTATCTTTAATGATGATTTGGGTGTTAATATGTCTTATCTTTTTGCTCCCTCCAGCACTAATAATCTCCGAGGTCATAGCAAGAAGGTTCATAAACCACGATCTAATAAACTTAAAGTGGGGTCCCGTTTTTCTCATCGAGTAGTCAATGATTGGAACGTCTTACCCGAACAAGTGTTATCAGCCCCATCAGTGAATACTTCCAAGAAGATGGACCTTCACTGAAAAGCAATGTGTCAGGATTAATACAGGTTCATCAACTTACTATCCTTATTACTGAAGATTGAAGGCTGAGCAAGACATCTGCCGAGCGGATTCTAGCGATCACGAGAACTATCAACTTCGAGGTCTTTTCCGTTATGGAAAAACTCCAAAGAACGCAAAATGAAGTTACGGAACTCTGTCAAACCCAGACCGTAGACGCTTCCGAACCCCTCGTAGGAATTCTCTAGATAACGAGAGACAGATAACCTGACGAACGAAGCTGTCTTTTATACACTACTGATGTAATGACGAAAGTTCACTACCTG